ATGATTCCAGAATCAGCGGGCAATTCGGGGCTTGCAGTTGCGGAAAGATAACGACATCCACTGCGTACTCCGTTCAGTGTTGCTAACGAATGCGACGAAACTTTAGTACCGGGCATGCATTGCAGTGACCTTTTTTTTCAGCAAATGACACTGCCTCACCCCGACCTTAAAGCCACATGTCCTGGCTTGGTTGGGAGGATCAGCCATGATTCCAGAATCAGCGGGCAATTCGGGGCTTGCAGTCCAGCATTGCGGAAAGATAACGACATCCACTGCGTACTCCGTTCAGTGTTGCTAACGAATGCGACGAAACTTTAGTACCGGGCATGCATTGCCGTGACCCTTTTTTTTCAGCAAATGACACTGCCTCACCCCGACCTTAAAGCCACATGTCCTGGCTTGGTTGGGAGGATCAGCCATGATTCCAGAATCAGCGGGCAATTCGGGGCTTGCAGTCCAGCATTGCGGAAAGATAACGACATCCACTGCGTACTCCGTTCAGTGTTGCTAACGAATGCGACGAAACTTTAGTACCGGGCATGCATTGCCGTGACCCTTTTTTTTCAGCAAATGACACTGCCTCACCCCGACCTTAAAGCCACATGTCCTGGCTTGGTTGGGAGGATCAGCCATGATTCCAGAATCAGCGGGCAATTCGGGGCTTGCAGTCCAGCATTGCGGAAAGATAACGACATCCACTGCGTACTCCGTTCAGTGTTGCTAACGAATGCGACGAAACTTTAGTACCGGGCATGCATTGCCGTGACCCTTTTTTTCAGCAAATGACACTGCCTCACCCCGACCTTAAAGCCACATGTCCTGGCTTGGTTGGGAGGATCAGCCATGATTCCAGAATCACCACCGGGCCGAAAGTTTCGACATGCAGCTATTATAACATAGATGTATGCCGCGGAGAGGCGGAGAGCCCCAAGACCCATTTTACGTGGCCAGCGTGGCGGAGTAATTACTTTCCGGGAATAAATTTATACTATTATATAGTTTCCGGCGGAGAGCTTTGCGGGGTTGTGCTAGGATTCTACGGGGGAACAGGGGTGAACATGTGGTGATCTCTCAACTTCATGTTGTATGGCGAACTTTCGTCCTGCGGTAGCGGGCAATTCGGGGCTTGCAGTCCAGCATTGCGGAAAGATAACGACATCCACTGCGTACTCCGTTCAGTGTTGCTAACGAATGCGACGAAACTTTAGTACCGGGCATGCATTGCCGTGACCCTTTTTTTTCAGCAAATGACACTGCCTCACCCCGACCTTAAAGCCACATGTCCTGGCTTGGTTGGGAGGATCAGCCATGGAACCGACGAAACTTTAGTACCGGGCATGCATTGCCGTGACCCTTTTTTTTCAGCAAATGACACTGCCTCACCCCGACCTTAAAGCCACATGTCCTGGCTTGGTTGGGAGGATCAGCCATGATTCCAGAATCAGCGGGCAATTCGGGGCTTGCAGTCCAGCATTGCGGAAAGATAACGACATCCACTGCGTACTCCGTTCAGTGTTGCTAACGAATGCGACGAAACTTTAGTACCGGGCATGCATTGCCGTGACCCTTTTTTTTCAGCAAATGACACTGCCTCACCCCGACCTTAAAGCCACATGTCCTGGCTTGGTTGGGAGGATCAGCCATGGAACCGACGAAACTTTAGTACCGGGCATGCATTGCCGTGACCCTTTTTTTTCAGCAAATGACACTGCCTCACCCCGACCTTAAAGCCACATGTCCTGGCTTGGTTGGGAGGATCAGCCATGATTCCAGAATCACCACCGGGCCGAAAGTTTCGACATGCAGCTATTATAACATAGATGTATGCCGCGGAGAGGCGGAGAGCCCCAAGACCCATTTTACGTGGCCAGCGTGGCGGAGTAATTACTTTCCGGGAATAAATTTATACTATTATATAGTTTCCGGCGGAGAGCTTTGCGGGGTTGTGCTGGGATTCTACGGGGGAACAGGGGTGAACATGTGGTGATCTCTCAACTTCATGTTGTATGGCGAACTTTCGTCCTGTGGTGTATGAAAATACCGCAAGGGACAGCGCTTTGGTGTTGAATTGAGCTTCAGGTGCCTTCGCCATGGGGTGTTTAGCGGCTTCACGAGCTTTGTCAAACCGTCTCTTCAGGTGGTGTTTAAGGCTTATACGTCCAACGGTTTAGGGTTTTAGGGATCAGGGTTGCACGGTTCGGTGCTCATGGGGTTCAGGCCTTCCACGAGATTTATGAAGTTCAGGGCTTTCACTGGGCTTGCCTGTAGCTTTTGAAACTTTTGGGTTTCAGTGCTTCAGAGATCGGTTTTAGGGTTCAGGGTTTAGGAGGGTTGTCGGCCTTGTGTTGGTAAACGTTGAGTTGTCGGCAAGCCATACGCGAATGTTCATGAGTAGTTTTGTGAGCAGCTACCCTGAAGCCTAAGACTACAGCTTATGTAGCCATGATTCCTTTCAGTTCCAATGACAAAACAGTTTATTACTAGTCATTTTTCCGACCATCTTCTGTTTAGGGTTCAGAGGTTTAGGTTTAGAGATGTGTAGGGTGTCAGGTTCAAGGTGTAGCTTTTGGGAAGCTGAGGTGTCCTAGGGTTTAGGGCTTAGGGTTTCAAGGGAGTGGGGTTTGGGCCCATAAATCGAGGTTTGTTCAACTCATACAAGGAGAACCCCAGCCAGTGGCAACGGCTACGTCTCACGAGTCTCACCTCCCATGTCTCATCCACCCCAGCGCTGGTAATTTCAGCCAGGAATTATTTTATGCTCTAGACTTTGCAGGGGCCCTGCAATCCACCCTCCACAAAAATCCTAGAAATACCCTACATCCTACAAGAAGTGTAGCCTTCTAACTAGTAACTCAGAGCGGTTGTTGAGCGGTTTATGGTGCTTTGAGGTTTAAGCTTTGTGGAAGCTCTCCTAAACTCTGAACCTGCAACCCTAAAGACCCCTAATCATTTGAATCATGTGTTCCTGGGGAGCCGAACATCTTCTGCAAGCAGACGGTAACAGCATTACCTAAGTGTTCAGGTGTTGAGGGCTAAGGGATTTTGGCTTGAGGTTTTAAGGTTTAGAGCTTCAGGGCTTCAGGAGTGAACAAGCTTGGTGTTGCGGATGCCTAGTGTGTAGCAGAGATTCTGGGCCTAGGGTCTAAGATGCTAAACTCGATGACACTTTGGGAAACTTGTTAAATTTCCCCTATGATTCCTTCACAAGTACCTCTTCCCAAAATACTTCCCAGGGCCTCGAAACAACGATGCAGTTAAGGGACGGGACGCTGTAGGGTTTAAGCCTCGGCGTTCCCTTTAAGCCTCGGGCCTCCCTATACCCGACACCCTACGTGAGGGTTTCGGGTTCTACCTTTTCCCGGGCTAAGACAAGGAATCAGAATACAAAACCCTGAAAGCTTTGGGGGCTGAGGTAAACTCTACCTGAGGATATCTCGCAGTTTGTTGTTATCACGAGGCTGCTCTTCATCCCGCAGCCCTTGCAGTTGATCCTTCAGCCTAATATATCGGGGCCCTCACAATTCGAGTCGACTTTTGCGGTAGATTGGGCCATACTCGTCATGGGAGCCGTAAGGAGCAACATATTGCAGATCCTGAGTTAGGCGACTTCTTTTCCGCACCCGAGCTTTTAAGCAGGGCTCACGGCAGCACTGCTGCATGCTTATGAACTATGGCAGTAGAATTAATGTGACCCCTAAGGCCCTACAACCTTCAGCCCCAAGATATGATTGCGGGTCACGTGCTGGCATCGAAGTTTATTTAGTTCCGAGTGGTCGGAGGGATCTGTCATAGCGATTCAAATGTTATGAACGTATAAGCTCAAAGAGCATTGGGCTGTTTTATGTTATAGTAAGTTATAGTCATGGAAATGGATAGTATGGTAAATCACAATATGTAGGTATGTAAGTATAACAATAGACACACACGCAGAGATGTATACATATACATGTGATTACATGAGTATTAATATGACTAATCGACTAATTAATTACACCTTAAACCCCGAAGGTCTAGTGGACCTTTGGTTTATGTTTTCTGGATCCGCCGGGCTTACGTATAGTAGTTGTAGCCTTCCGCACAGTCTCTGTGTGTTAAAATACACAATACATGTTTGCGTGTTACTTCGGTTTACCAGATGAGGGCTTCGATCAAACGTTGCTTTAGGGTGCACGGTTCGAAGACCTTCGCATGCGACACAAGCTTTTTCATATGTTGAAATGTACTGGGATGTCTGACCACTCAGAATGGAGACGTGATTTGGCTTTCGGCCATCGCAACACGCGAGGTCTGGAAAACTTGCGCTGGCTCAGGTTAAGGTTTCAGGTCTCAGTGGGTTTTTTGTTCGCAGAAGCCTCTACAATATGCCAAGCCAGCATCGAGTTGGGTCAGCAGGGCTTGAGGAATGATGAGGGTGTCTCGCGTGGGGCCATCATAAACGAAAATCCTTGCTCGAGACGAGACTACATGCTGCCGTAATGATGAAGATAGCTCTTAGGGTAGCCTCTCTCCAGTGTCTGATCCTTGTTCTTCTCACTCTGTTCCGTGTAAACTACTTGATTGTAGGTCCTTGTCAACGTCCGGAGCAACACCAGTTAAGGTACATGAAACCGTTGCATACCAAGCAGTCCATTTCGTCGACATCGCACGGCAAACCAGGACATCGCACAATGTAGAGGTAGCTCAAACACTTGTAATTATGAGCAAGTCTAGCCTCCGTCGCAGGTTCGAGTAGGCATGAAAACGTCTACTCTCCAAGGGACCACATTCCTATTCATTGTCCTTGAACCCTATGCTACAGCACCCTAAACCGTTCATTGTCTAGCATGAGCCCTTCGCTGCAAGACATTGACGATTAAGGGTTTATGGTGTTTAGGGTTTAGTCTTTCGGGGTTTGGGTTATTGCAAATCCTGCTACCTTGGACAAGACCCACCGCGCACTGCAACCTGCAGCAATTGTGGCTTGTTGAGTTCTGGATAGTTTGCGACTCAAAGCGGGGCAAATGTCCCGGCTTTTGCTGTCGCCAGGTTGATCAGTAGTACATGTAGCATTTGTTGTTTTGCGATTGCCTCACAGACTGCAATATCAAGCATTTTAATCCCTAAACCCTAAAGCGCTGAACCCTAAACCCCTAAACCCAAAACCCCTAAACCCAATTTTTAGGGTTTAGGGTTTAGGGTTCAGGGTTTTAAAACCCTAAACCCTGAAACCCGTAAGACTATGGCCCGACAAGCCTAACTAACCTACGTACGAACCCAAAACCATAAAGCTCCAGAAATTCCTCGCACCCTAACAATTCAACCGTTCAAGGCTCTAAGCCTAAACCACCTAAACACCTCAGAGCCGCAAAACCCGAAAGCTTTACACGCCATTTTAATACTCCAAGACCTTAGACCCATTTGTTGGTTCAAGGGGCCGAAAACCCTTTTCCCTCAGCTCTGCTGAGGAGACCACCACCCACCTTTTTATATTGTTCCATAATGCCCTTCTAAAGCCTACATATTCGGGTCTACAAACAGGAAACTACTAGATAGTAGGATAAGGCAGTTTAGGGCTCTAGGGAGCTGAGGTCATGGCTGGTGTTGCTCCTGGGCTTCTTGGGCCGGGGGTGCCTAGCACAGCGAAAGGCCTGGGAAGTTGCTGTGGCTTTGGATGAGAAGGGTTGGATAATGTACATATATATATATATACACATATCTGTACTTTTGTTTGTTTATCGGGGGTTACCGATATACATAGATGTGGTTTTATATGTATATACTCATACATATATATATATATATAGAGAGAGAGAGAGAGAGAGAGGGAGAGAAGTGGCGAGAAAGAGAAGGAGGGTTTGTGGCCTTGGTTTAGGGTTTAGGGCAAAGCAACTCAGAGTTTTCAGGGTGTAGGTGTTGGGCTTTAGGGCTTTATTGAGTTTTAGGGCTTAACTAGATCCTTTTCAGGGGTCCGCATAATTGCAGGTGTTATTCTGTTTAGGCTTCTTTGCAGTCAGCTCCTTCTCAATCGAGCGTCAAAGCCGAGCGTCATAATATCCACCCACCCCCCAGCTGTCAAACGTTGGTATGGGACTTTCCGGAAACAGGGGACCCTCATAGAGTACCCTAAATGGTAGGATCCTTATTATAAGTGTCCCAGAATAAGATACCCCCTATTTTCGGAAACTCCCGTATGGAGCCTGAGCCGAAATCCATCAGAGCTAGGAACCCGCAGAACCTGATGAAGCAGACAAGGGATATCCAGGCTGCCAGGCTTCTGTGTTGAACTATAGTCTCCTTAGGATTCTTTTTGTTCATATAATGCCCAAGAGAAAATTCAAAATATTGAATTGATTATGGTTCTAAGGGGGGTATGGATTAGACGTGAGAGTGTTTTAAGTTAGCTGCTTTAAGTCGGGGGTCACGATCCGCGAGTGCAGGTCGTATGCGCTCCCAACTGCCGCACCTGCGTCAAGACGGGCACATGCGATCCATGGCCTGTTCAGAGCCCTCCTCGGCAGTCTTCATCTGCCAAAAACACCCTGGCATATAGCGTCTTGTAGGGCCGCTTAGAAGCTTGTCGCAGAGTCGCCCACATTATGAGGTTTGGTTACTGCCTACATAGTACAGCGTAGGGTTTCTCTTGTAGAAAACACCACTATTATGATTAGGGTAAGTATCCCTTTGCACGAAGAGACTGGGAGTTGGGGATCCCCTCAAGATGTGCACATACGATACATGGCTCATGGACCACCGGGAGCATCTTGAACTGCGGGAATTTTACTATATTATTATGTTGAATCCTGCCCTCAACCCTAAACCCCGAAACCCGTAATTCCTAAACCCCGTTAAACTTGAACCCCAAGCCCTAAACCGCTATATAAGCGCCTAAGCCCTAAACTATGAATATAGCTTAAATCATAATATGAAGCTCTATACAATTTAAGCCATATTCCTTAATTAAGGGGTATTGGGCTCTCTGGGTTCCTGGCAAGGAAGTATGCCTTGCTGGCTACACCGTGAAGCCGGAGGACCGGACGTGCGGACCGTGTGGCAAGCACTGCCAAGACTGCTCGAATAGCGGCGCCCAGACGGCAGGGAAGGTGCTTCCGGTTGATGATATAAATCCTGCATTACCTTTAGGACCCTAATGGGAATTATGGCATATTCCGTATTATGGGAAATGCAGGATTCATATCATCAGCCGTTCCCTTTTTAGGAGGCCTTATTTTGACTTCTTTCTGCAAGTCCTGAGAAAATGCAGCGTATTTTGGGTTCAGGCTTGGCTTAACCCTTCAGAAGTAGGCAAGATAACGGACAACATCTATAAAGGCTATCATTCTATATACATACTGTTGGGGTCCAGGTAAAGCCTACAGCCAAGATCTCAGAAACCCAGAAGAGGCAATACTGCTTTGAGGCTCCGGATTCTACAGGCTTTCAGCCGGTCTGGGACACTGAGTCTAGCTTGAAGGAGCCGATCTTCTGAATCCCTCAACACTATAACCCTACACAGCCCTAAACCCTGCACCTGTATGCCCTTTTCTGGGTAGGCGCTTTGGAAAGGAGTGGCATTGCACTTAAGAAAAAACCTATATAAACCTAACCGGGGTGTGATTTTCGGTGTATATGGAATTTAGGGAGCCCAGCACCCTTTAGTTGAATGAGTACAATCTGGATGGAGTGAGTTGTCTTGTTTTTCTTGGATTGTTTGCGATCAAATCGTTTCTTTTCCATATTGTGTGCAAGTTTCGGAACCTAACCCCCCCCCCAAAAAAAAAAAACAAAGTAAGTAAAATAGATGGCCCAACTATTCTACATGGCTTTATTATTGGGGTCCAGGACATCATGCTAGGAAGCCCGAAATCATCGAAGGCGTCTTCTGTAATTGCAGGAGCTCTGGGAATCGGTTCTTCGGGACAGAGAAAGCTCCTCATGCCCGAATATGGGGTCCTAAGTAATTTTCAATACTATTTTGGGGTTTCTTATGATCGCTATAGTATAAAATGGGCCCCAAGACCAGTTTCATTTTTTTCGGCCCCTATCTATATTAAGCAAGAGCCGTCAGCTGGGTGATGGTTTGGATGCCGAATATGGCGGCAGGGACCCGAATGCATAACCGGAAGACGCAAACCTAAACCCTCGTCGCTAAAGCCACAGCCCCAAACCCTAAAGCCAGACTTAAGCACTAAACTACCAAGCTCCCAAAGCCAACCCGGCGCTCTGGACTGATTAAGGGCCCGGCGGCTGCAACATTGACGGTTGCAAAGATGGCTACACCTGGTGGAAAGGCAGTTCGTTTTCCTCGGCAAGATGCCACGCAGCCAGAGAAGCGGTTTAGGGTTTTTCGTTCAGGGTTTAGGGTTTAGGGTTTTTGGATTAGGGTTTAGGGTTTTTGGTTTAGGGTTTAGGAAAGCTGCATAGATCCTTGTGTCCCAGGCCCCTGCATGGCTTCCATCCCCACAAGTACAGGAATCTTCGTGGTCAAAACAATCTGTTCACATGGGTAGTTGTCAAAATTATGGTTCCTTTTTGGGTCCCTATTATAGCACGGCACCTAATATTTAGGGTACCCCAAAAGGGGCCATAATCTTGCCAACTACCCACATCCCTATGGCCCGCTATGTTTTATGTTTGTCTTGGAGACTGGACCTCTGTCTGAGCTGTGTAGCTACATCGTTTGTGTAGGCGCAGGAAGACAGGCACACCGACACATCGGGACTGTTCCGCATAAGTAACCCATGTCTGTGTTTATTATCGACAACTCATTTGTTCATAAACACAGCCGGGCGTTTACAGTATAAACAACGGTCCGCAACACATATGCTCCCACGCAGAAGCACCGTTAATACTTTGCTTTCATAGCTTTTTCAAACAGGGTCTTGGTCTCAACCGTAGAAGCCGAGACATGGAGAAAGTCCAGCGTGTCAGAGCGTAGGATTTGCGGTAAGGTAAGGTCGGTCCGTGGACCTGTTGCCCTAAGGGTCCAAGTACCTCGAATAGGGTTTCAAGGTCTAAAAACCATTCAGAATATAGATTGGGGGAACCAAGACCCTACTATTTGGGTACTCGGACCCTCTGGGTTGTTGGTTGGTGTCAGTGATGGCGGCGGATGGTGGTGGCGCTAGTGGTGGTGGGGTGGAGCGGTCTTGGAACATACTTGGAGGATCATGGGACTTAGTAAGTAGGTTATAAGTACCTTTACTGGGCTATAAGCAATTATAAGTACAGTTACCTTACTTATAACCCTACTTACTAAGTCCCATGACCCTTTAAGTAGCACAGCCCCTTCAATCCTAAACCCCCAAACAAGCCCCTCAACCCTGAACACCAGCCAGACCACAAGGCGAGCCTTGCGCAGAAAATTGTCGGAGGTGCGACACCGTGGGTTACGGAAAGTGCGATGCCTGCATCAAAGGCCGCCCATCTGGATTTAGGGTTGATAGGGTTGAGGGTTTGAGGGCTGAGTTTTGGGGTTTAAAATGGGAGTGCAGGCAGTCGTGTTTGCGATGGTTTTTCTGGGCTTTGGTAGAGTTTCATATGGTTCTGTATGGGCTTTACAAAGCTCTACTAGTAGGTTTGAGGGCTGAAGGCTTTAGTAGGCCCCTGGTTGTCACGATGGTGTGGTGGTCCTATTGGTCATGCTCCGTCACTGCTGGGAGACCTACTCTGGCATGCTACAGGGGTCTAAATAATAATTACCAATACCATTTTGGGGGCTCTGTATTATAAATATATGTAGTATAACGGCCCCCCAAACCCTAGTTTAAATGTGAAGGGCTCTCTAATTGTTGAGGCCCCTGTACCACCGATCTCTCCTAGGCTGAAGGGATACTACTGTCACTGATTAAGGCGTTTCGGAGCCTTTGGGATTTGACGCTCAGATTACGAGTTGACGAAAGATGGCTACCACCAGTGCAAGAGCCCTGGCAAGATTTGAGCATGGATCCTGCTGGTGATCCAATGATACGAACCTGTATTGTTTCGACTACTCCTGTTGTGTCTCACTGTCGCACACGTGTTTTCAACGCAAAGTTATTCAACAGAGCTTTTCCACCACAACCTTCGGATCTACCTGACAATAAGCGAACTGTTGCTGAACATTCGGTCACAAGAAAATGCTGAAATGCCGATGCAATCTCGTTGTTTGTTGACCTAAACATTTCACTCAAGCAGGCGGTTTTAATTTGATAGTTGACCTAACATCTACTTCATTGTACATGATGTTTAACAGTACGCTGCATTAAGGTTATGCAATGCTATGTATATGGCATTTCGTGATTTTGTGACTCGCGATCCTTGGTTCACGGGTTCACATTGCTTCTTTTATCTCCTCGTGAATGAATGAAGCGGTCATTATTATCTACAGATGAATTAGGACTGAACTGCTGGAGAGTTATGATTCTATCTCATCTGTATTTTCAGTATTGGTCAAGTATCGGATGTTCGTGAATATGTTCTCATTGTTTCTTGGGCAGACTTGAATATGAGGCAAGCACTATGAACTTTTCGCCGAATGCTGATGCAATATTCGATGAAGTGCGTAGCAACTAGAAAGCAAGCAAGAATGGACGGTACTGGTAACGCATCCATCGGCATGCCACAAACTAAACTGCATACTAGCTGTGACAAAGCATCAACACATGCATCGCAACTGCTACTCGAATAGTCGAAAGCAGGTACTGTCCTGGCAACTTTTGCATACATGCGTTCCACGCAACGGAGTCTTTCGGGTTTTTAGTTCAGGGCTGATGGCTTGGAAGTGTGCTTGTAGTGACTGATTTAACCAAGTATTGTCGTTAGATAGGAACACAAATAACAATGCTTGGATACACTCTTACTGTTTTAATATGTATTTTGAGGATAGTACGAACTCATCATCGTGTCCGTGGGTGAGTGAATGTTGTCGAGAAAGACGGCAATACTCTGAGGCTTTATTCGGGTTCCAGTGTGGGGAGAGAGAAAGGCAAAACGCAAGACTTCGTTGTCCTACTCATGGCTGCGTACTGTCCAAAAAGAACTCTGATGAGAATGCTATGCTGCTTTAATCATTCTTTTCCAGTGTTAGGGAAGAAAATACAATGCTGGGCTATTGCGAGCACTACTAAAGTGCGGAGTCTGAGGGGGTGTATATGTCATTTATGTATATGTATGTGTATATGTGGCTGCATATATATATGTGTATGCGTATATGTTGATGCATATGTATAAGTATACTATGTGTGTGTATATACATACACGTGTATATGAATGTGTATATGTATATGTATACATGCATGTGTATGGATATCTGTATGTGTATGCATGTATGTATATGTGTGCCCGTGTGTGAGTGTGTGGGAATTATATGGGACCACAGCCGAAGGAAATGCTCGGACAACTGCCAGGGCTGCCAGACAGCGGGCGGTGGCCTTTGTGATGTCACCGGGCCTTCTTCTATCCCATCGGGTTCGTTGAGGTCTTGGTAAGGGTTAGGGTTCAGTGGTTGGGACCTGGGAAATGAGGATTCCATGACTCTGCAGGCATATGAGGGCTTCATGAAATAAGGGGACCGTATAGAGCATATACCCTCAACAGCAGGATCCTTGAATCACGGATCCGTTGAGAACCCCCATGTGCTCGACGTTTTCATTTCGTGTCCTATTGCCAGTGTGGAGGACCCATCGTTCAGGGTACGGGTGATGGTAAATCAGGGCCCACTAGAGGGATTCTGGGTTTTAAGGCTTGGGTTCCAACGGTGCTGGGTTTCAGCTTCATAGCCTAGGTTCCCGAGTAGTACCCTTTTGTCCGTTTTGGTTTAGGGTCCCCTTACTCAAATCAAAAACTAGGAAAAAAGGTGCCCTGGTTATAAAGCGGCTACGCAGGAACCTAGCAGTCTGCAGCTCCCTGCTGCAATTGTCCTATGCCCTTGCAGACGCAATTGCTTTGGTGTTACCCTTTATAAGGAATATACCATAGTTCCCATAGTTTAGAGTCCTTAGGGTCATGCAGAAAATGGATCGATGAAGCAAGCACTAGGGAGACCTTCGGGATGTTCGTTCTTTCCTCATAGCGGGAATCAGAGGACATATTTACGAATATTTTTCAGATTCTTGATGGAGTACATTGAAGTCTCAGTAAATAGTGGTTCTAAGCCCTAAACCGTAAACCACTGCACTAGAACATACCTCAGAACATTTCAGAACCCGATTCTGGTTGCATTTTAAAACACCTGTAAGACCCTAAGCCCTAAACCCCTACAGCGACCTCACAGATCCCCGAAAGCAGCCAGGCTTCCATGTTATCACGCTCCTTTAGGGGCGCTTATGATTAGAATAGGGTTTTGGGACCCACTATCATATTTTAAGTAAAATACGGAACCCCCCAAAAAGTATGGCTAGTTATTCAGGCCCCTACACGCGGCCCGAGCACCGTCTTGCGGAATGCCAGGGTACTCGATTTTCAGATTTCCGTGTTCAGGCCTTGGGTTTGTCAAAGTTAGGGTCCCTCTTTGGGTCCTTAATGTAGTACGGCACCTAATATTTAGGGTACCCAAAACGGGGCCATGATTTTGACAACCACAAATGTAGGTTGGAGGGTTTGGGGCTCAGGGTTTCGAGTGCATCGAGATTAGATTTCTAGAGCCCCGGCTTGAGGATCTAGGGGTTCTGTTTACATGCCCCTGGAACTCCACCAGAACCCCCCCCCAACTGCCCTTTAAAGGGCCCTAGGCCCTAGTATTTCTCCTTAAGTAAGCGGTAAGTTGGGGCTCCAAACCCTGTGCTGTGAAGCCCCACAGTCTCAAGCACCAAGGTTTGCGACAAAGGCTTCGCGCTGACGACGGGCAAAACGTGCGCGGACTCTCGCCTCATGTGTCTTAAGAGCCTCTATATCCTGCAAATCTTCACATCTTCTGTGTCTTGTAAACCCCGGAACCGTCAGCTCGTGCGTCCCCGGTTTGCACTGAAGGCGTGCGCACCCAATTGCAAGCAGTGTGCACGAGCTGGTCCTGGGCGTGGCTGGGCTATGCCGAGCTTGGTGATAGAATAGAGTCCATAACCGAGTCTCTAGGTAACCCTAAACCCTAAACCCTAAGCCGGTTTAGGGTTTAGGGTCGTATTGATGTGGGTTAGCATGTGGGAGACTATATGATTATTGACTGGGGACCAGGAAACTTCAGAGGGACCCAGAGATCCCAATGCCCAATACCCCTTATTATGGAATATACCTTAAATCATAATATTAAGGGCCCTATAACTTAAGGTATATTCCTTAATTAAGGGGTATTGGGTTCTCTAGGGATAAGGCTTTTCAGTCTTTATAACTTCAATATGGAGCCTTATAAGGAGTGGTTTTGCTCATGGTCAGGTTTCGAACACTCTAAAGGACCCAAAATAGCCCTTAAAGCCTAAACCCGAAGCCAGCAGGTAACTGAAGGTCGAGAATTACAGGGCTAATACACACCCTGAAATCCCATGACCTGTATCCTCAGGAATTGGTTAAACCCAAGAAAAGGAACTGCAAAGGAGACTATGGGCTCAGGGTTTAGGGTTTAGAGTTTAGGGTTTAGGGTCTTGATTTTGGGATTTAGGGTTTATAGAGTTTTTAGACCATGGAAGATACCTGATTCTTGGGTCCTTTGGGCCCTTAGAAAATTTCTATATTCAGGCCTTGGCATCCTCGTACCCCAAGCCCCATGAACCACCAACATTTTTAGAAGGTTTGGGGATCAGGCCTCCCTTGGAGCGTCGTTGGACTTAGTAGGTAGGCAACAAGCAGACTTATAAGTACCTGGACAGGCACCCGAATTGGGGTTATAATACTGATAAGTCTCGAGAATATTTACGTACTAAGTCCATCGACCCTCCAAGTCGGGTTTTTGGATTATGCCTTGCTGTGTTTGGAGTTTAGAGGTAAACGCCAGACTCGAAACCCTAAACCTAGAACGGAACATCTGCAACAAGGTGGGATCCTTAGTGCACACTGAATCACATACCAACTCTACGAACGCCTGAATACTAGATTGGCGCTGTTTTTCCGTAAGGCTCCCTGTTATAGTTAAAGGCATAATATGCTCCAAAGCCCTAAAACCCTTAACCCTAATTTTACTGCTCCTACTTAAACCCCCCAACTACCCTCTAATATACCCCAAATGCCCACGATTAAGGACCATAAGGGCTCCATTATTAAAGGGCCGTTGGGGTCCTGGTAGTTTTCGTCGCATTTTTTCCCAAACCCTAAACCCCTAAAGCCTTAAACCCCTGAAAGGATCCTTGTTTTTAGACTCGAGGCTGCGATCTCTGCAAGGATGGCTTCGATCTTGCAGCAGACAAGCGACTCGTATGATAGTATAGGGGCCTTAGTAATTACCTATACTACTTCGGCGGTAATCATAGTATAAACCCTCTTCTAATTATTAAGGCCCCTATATTATGCGCCTTCTATTGTATGCGGAGTAGGATAGGTTTAGGGTTCCTTTAAGGGTTGTTTGAAGCACTAAGATAAGGGTTCTGATCTAGAGGCCTGAATCACTAGAAAAGAGGTTTTGAGTATGCTGTCTGGCTATTGTATTGCCAATTCTCCCGATTCCTAGGTCACGAGATGCAACGCATGTCATTTCAGTCCCAAGGCCTACCTGTAGTTCCTTTTTAGGGTTGCATCATAGGATCCTACTGTCAGAGAAAGGAACGACAAGGGCGACTTCAGGTAAAGCCCGAAGCATCCCGACGGACTTTAGCCTTGTGTATCCTAGAGCGATACCGTAGGGTTGCGATCCTCTAACATAAGGTTTAGGGGTTACTTGGAGGGTCGGGGGACTTAGTAAGTAGGTAGTAAGTAGACTTATAAGTACCCTAATAGGGACCCTAAATACGGGTTACGATACTTAGAAGTCCCTAAAATAACTATTTACTAAGTCCCCCGACCCTCCAAGTAGGGTGGAAAAGTAAAAGCCGTAATTCTGCGCAGTTGAGGCCTCTAGCCTGCGGAAACCTAGCGCGGTCACCGACCCTACTGCATGAAAGCCCACATGAGCCCCCACAAAATAGCCCCTTCTTCAGCGAGTTGACCAACCCAAAACGCCGCGTTTTGACGTGTCCAAGGAGAGGGATTTTATCGGGCAGTTTCGAGTTTCGCTCCCACGGAAGATAGACTGACGTTGCCCGGTAAGAGGTGACTCTTCATATTAAGTCCCCTATAATTTAGGGTATATTCCTTAATTAAGGGGTATTGGGCTCTCTGGGTTGAATCTGCAAACCGACAAATTAGCCTTTAGGGTGCTGTCGCGAATTACTCAGAGCTCCATGGTACACTATAGGGCACAGCAAATTCAGTATTTGATGGTTCCAGTAAGACCTCCGACAAAGTAGGCTATTTTGGTTTATGTTCGGACTTGGTACCGATTCAGCCCTGTAAATCTTGAAATTACAAGCTTTATCAACCCCATTGAACCTTCCTAAACCCTACTGGAACCTAACTCTCAAACCTGGCCACTTCTTTGAGGACCTGTCCGACATGCGCGAAGAATTGTCAAAGCTGCATCCATGCCGGAGAAAAGAGATGTGACATCTGTATGCCCGGCTGCTTGGGTGCAAAGTGCCGGTTGTTCAGGACAGCTATGTGTGTGTATATATATATATATATATGTACACACACATGGATATTGAATGATTGATTTTTTGTGTTTGCTGTTTTGCTTTGCGGGCTCGTCCGTACGCAGCCAGGTGTGTGTGTGTGTATATATATATATATAGAGAGAGAGAAAACAAAGACGCAGCATTTTTATACACATATACCTATATCATTATACAAATTCCGATACAGGTATTTGCATGTGTGTGTATATATATATATATATATATGTACGCATACACACGCATATACATGTTACTAATATATATATATATATATATATATATATATATATATATACATATATATATATATGTATATATATATATATATATATATATATATATATATTATATACATATATATATATATATATATTTACATATGTAATGCATGCATGCATATATATATATATGTATGTATGTATGTATGTATGTATGTATGTATGTGTGTATGTATGTATGTATGTATGTATGTATGTATGTATGTATATGGGTGCGTGTAAGTACGTTTTGTGCTTGCATGTTCTGCGAGTGTTGCTTTCCCCTGTGGTTCCAAATTGCCCCAAGCCCTTGTGGAGTATGGCCCAACTCACGGGTAGTCTAAAAGACTGTGACTATGGCTGAAGTCGAGTCTAATCGCAGTCCTGAGACAGCCTTTGGTGTTGTTGTTCATGCTGCTTTTGATCTAATGGGTTTGCCTTAACACTAAACCCCAAGCGGTAAACCAAAAAAACACTCGCCCGTAATCTAAGCCCTAAACCCTATATTGTAAGCCCTAATGTAGGGACCTGATTAAGAGACCCTGGGTCTATAAGCCCAACTAGTAGGATTCATATATAAAGAGTCCTAATAAAGGCGCAAGGTTTCTTAATCAGGCTCCTAATCAAATCCCCCCCCAAAACCCTTATAGACCCCTTTAAAGGAAGCCCTATAGATCCCTTTAAAGGAACCGGGCTGCTCCACAGGCTACGGTCGCAACACCGCGATGCTGCAGGGGGAATACTGCGAGAAATGTTTCCCGACCTTCAGCTTTTTGGGTTTGGGGGGTTTAGGGTTTAGGGTTCAGGGTTTAGAGTTTAGGGTTTAGGGTTTAGGGTTTAGGGCTCCTTTGAGGAATCTAAAGGGAACTTCAGAAAGTTGGAATATGGAATAATGGCAGGATCCCCTATAACTTACCATAAAGGGGTTAGGATAAGCATATTCCAACTTTCTGGCTTCTACTTTTAAAAGGGTTCTCTAAGAGTTCCTTTCAAGGGATCTTTGAAGGGTTTAGGGTTTGGGGGATGGGGTTGAGGGGTTTAGGGGCTCGGGTTTGGGGCTTAGGGCTGGGGCTTCAGGGGCCAGCTTTTCTGGTGCTTTAGGCTTCAGGCTTTGTGGGGAGATCGGTCTTTAGTTTGTGGAGACCCAGAGAGCCCAACACCCCTTAATTAAGGAATATGGCTTAAATTATATAGGGCTTCATATTGTGATTTTAAGCTATATTCCTTGATTAAGGGGTATTGGGCTCTGTGGAGAGTTTGCAGTTCCGGCTTTTCCAGAAGCTGGAGCTCATTCAGGCTGATTTCGGGTCAGGGGCATATTGGGGTGAGTTTGCTAGTTGCATTGAGTTTGTAGGGTTTAGGGTTCCTACTCTTGATGGACAATATCCTGCATTACCCATTATAAGGAATATACCATAGTTCCCACAGCTTAGAGTCCTTAGGGTCCTGCAGGATTTTGTCCATCAACAGTATGAGTATGAGCACCGGTCGTTGTGCTCCCTCGCGTCCCGAACCCCGACCCGGCTTGTAAGCTGAACCCCTTTATCAATCCAGGAGAGCCTTTGTTCCGAAGCCTACCCAAAGGCCCCATAGTAGGTCCGTTTTTAAGATTACTTTATAGGATTCTATACATATATGTATATGAACCCCAAAAAGGAACTACTTTATGGATCTATGAGGATTTACTGTTGACCTGAACCGTTGCACCTTGCCATATCTGAGGTGCGGAAGGTTGCAAATCCTGCGCACAGGCCGGTGCCAAGAAATGTGATACATGCGGCGACGGCTACGCCCTCATTGTCGCACAAAAGACCTGCAGCTGGGACTGAGTCCAGCCAGACCAGAACCCTTCTTGTATTCACAGATCCCAATATCCCCTAATTAAGGCATCTACATGAATATACCTTAAGTTATAGGGGCCTTCATATGATGGTTTCAGGTACACGCCTTAATTAAGGGACACTGGGATCTCTGGGTAGATACATAGGTTATACTAGGCGCCGATAGGCTACCCGGGAAGCCCGAGCACAAGCCGCGTGAGTAGCAAAGTCTGTGGCAAAGTACCCGCAGAAGTGCTGAACCGACAGCAACCCCACAACCTAAACTAGCAAATCCCGGCAATACCTCGACCCCTCAAATGAACCGATAGTGGAGTTCGTAAAACAATAATGTTGTGCTGCCAGGAACCCGTCCAAAGAGCTGAAGCAAGTTTACAGGAATGATATGGAGAAAAACTGCAGCACTTCTCCACTCCACAACGCGACCCCCCAAACCCGAGGCGCTAACCCTCACTCGCAATCCAAGCTCCGGCGGTTAAGATGAGCCCACTGCAAAAAAAAATGCAGGTTCTTTGCAAAGCACGCGAGCGCTCAACTCAGAGCCAAAAAAGCTCTTCCCTCAATCCTAAACTTATAGAAACCAAGCCTGCCTTGTGGGTCCAAGAGTCTGCGGTGCGTGTGTGTGATATGGAGTCACACTCTGCAATTGGGACTGCAGAAAAAGCTTTCCCAAACCTGCTGGGGATCCGTATATGCGTAGTTGATGTGCCCCAAAACACTCCTGATTATTGGCCCCTGTGTTAGCTTCGGACGCACGGTCACCGAGGTGGTAAGTGTGCTGACAATTGCCTCAAATGCGGGGTGCCCGGCAAATGCAATCAGGGCCAATGCAAGGCCGGAGGGGTGCTTTCAGGTGTAGTGTTTACCGGTAGTCTTGGAGCATTCCGCAGGAGTGGCACTGATAGCATTAAGATAAGAGTAAGAGCATTCCGTGCAGCATCATCTGCCCATTCGCTACGATGACGATGTACCTAGGTAGAGAGCTGCTTCGTTTACAAGATCCCGGTAGTGTTCCCAAGCATTCACATCAACCCGAAGCACTAAACCTACGTACCATACTATAGGGGCCGGAATACTTACCTATACTATTCTGGGCGTTCCTTGTTACAAGTAGAAGAGGCCCCGGAACCCCTAATTACACCACCGGGCCGAAAGTTTCGATGTGCAGCTATTATAACATAGATGTATGCCGCGGAGAGGCGGAGAGCCCCAAGACCCATTTTACGTGGCCAGCGTGGCGGAGTAATTACTTTCCGGGAATAAATTTATACTATTATATAGTTTCCGGCGGAGAGCTTTGCGGGGTTGTGCTAGGATTATTATATAGTTTCCGGCGGAGAGCTTTGCGGGGTTGTGCTAGGATTATTATATAGTTTCCGGCGGAGAGCTTTGCGGGGTTGTGCTAGGATTATTGTATAGTTTCCGGCGGGGAGCTTTGCGGGGTTGTGCTAGGATTATTGTATAGTTTCCGGCGGAGAGCTTTGCGGGGTTGTGCTAGGATTATTGTATAGTTTCCGGCGGAGAGCTTTGCGGGGTTGTGCTAGGATTATTGTATAGTTTCCGGCGGAGAGCTTTGCGGGGTTGTGCTAGGACTATTATATAGTTTCCGGCGGAGAGCTTTGCGGGGTTGTGCTAGGATTATTATATAGTTTCCGGCGGAGAGCTTTGCGGGGTTGTGCTAGGATTATTATATAGTTTCCGGCGGAGAGCTTTGCGGGGTTGTGCTAGGATTATTGTATAGTTTCCGGCGGAGAGCTTTGCGGGGTTGTGCTAGGATTATTGTATAGTTTCCGGCGGAGAGCTTTGCGGGGTTGTGCTAGGATTATTGTATAGTTTCCGGCGGAGAGCTTTGCGGGGTTGTGCTAGGATTATTGTATAGTTTCCGGCGGAGAGCTTTGCGGGGTTGTGCTAGGACTATTATATAGTTTCCGGCGGAGAGCTTTGCGGGGTTGTGCTAGGATTATTATATAGTTTCCGGCGGAGAGCTTTGCGGGGTTGTGCTAGGATTATTATATAGTTTCCGGCGGAGAGCTTTGCGGGGTTGTGCTAGGACTATTATATAGTTTCCGGCGGAGAGCTTTGCGGGGTTGTGCTAGGACTATTATATAGTTTCCGGCGGAGAGCTTTGCGGGGTTGTGCTAGGATTATTATATAGTTTCCGGCGGAGAGCTTTGCGGGGTTGTGCTAGGATTATTATATAGTTTCCGGCGGAGTGCTTTGCGGGGTTGTGCTAGGATTATTATATAGTTTCCGGCGGGAGCTTTGCGGGTTGTGCTAAGACTATTATATAGTTTCCCGCGGAGAGCTTTGCGGTTTGTGCTAGGATTTTATAAGTTTCCTCCGGCGGAGGAGCTTTGCGGGTTGTTCGAGTAATTATTATATAGTTTCCGTCTGATAGCTTTGCGGGGTTTGCTAGGATATTTCTTAGTTTCCGGCGGAGAGCTTTGCGGGGTTGTGCTAGGACTATTATATAGTTTCCGGCGGAGAGCTTTGCGGGGTTGTGCGAGGATTATTATATAGTTTCCGGCGGAGAGCTTTGCGGGGTTGTGCTAGGATTATTATATAGTTTCCGGCGGAGAGCTTTGCGGGGTTGTGCTAGGATTATTATATAGTTTCCGGCGGAGAGCTTTGCGGGGTTGTGCTAGGATTATTATATAGTTTCCGGCGGAGAGCTTTGCGGGGTTGTGCTAGGATTATTATATAGCTTCCGGCGGAGAGCTTTGCGGGGTTGTGCTAGGATTATTGTATAGTTTCCGGCGGAGAGCTTTGCGGGGTTGTGCTAGGATTATTGTATAGTTTCCGGCGGAGAGCTTTGCAGGGTTGTGCTAGGACTATTATATAGTTTCCGGCGGAGAGCTTTGCGGGGTTGTGCTAGGATTATTATATAGTTTCCGGCGGAGAGCTTTGCGGGGTTGTGCTAGGATTATTATATAGTTTCCGGCGGAGAGCTTTGCGGGGTTGTGCTAGGACTATTATATAGTTTCCGGCGGAGAGCTTTGCGGGGTTGTGCTAGGACTATTATATAGTTTCCGGCGGAGAGCTTTGCGGGGTTGTGCTAGGATTATTATATAGTTTCCGGCGGAGAGCTTTGCGGGGTTGTGCTAGGATTATTATATAGCTTCCGGCGGAGAGCTTTGCGGGGTTGTGCTAGGATTATTGTATAGTTTCCGGCGGAGAGCTTTGCGGGGTTGTGCTAGGATTATTGTATAGTTTCCGGCGGAGAGCTTTGCGGGGTTGTGCTAGGATTATTGTATAGTTTCCGGCGGAGAGCTTTGCGGGGTTGTGCTAGGAGCTTTGCGGGGTTGTGCTAGGATTATTATATAGTTTCCGGCGGAGAGCTTTGCGGGGTTGTGCTAGGATTATTATATAGTTTCCGGCGGAGAGCTTTGCGGGGTTGTGCTAGGATTCTACGGGGGAACAGGGGTGAACATGTGGTGATCTCTCAACTTCATGTTGTATGGCGAACTTTCGTCCTGCGGTAGTATTGAGACTGGTACGACGTGGTGGCACATATTTTCGAGGAATCCAGTGATTTGTTCTGGAGTTGTGAAACATAGATTTCTAGTGTTTTTCTGCGGGTCCATGTACCCAACTAGTATATACCTTGGCCCCAAGTACCTATATAGGGACTACTTTCGGTTAAGGCCATCTGGGCACATGGACCCTTAGGGGTTGCGAATCCCTAAATATGAACCACGTTTTGTTGTGCACTTATTGTAGTTGCTGCACTCGAAACACTCTTACGAACTATGCTTCTGTAAGTGAGGGGCGTTGGCATCCATCATCTCCAACGAAGCTTGAGATTCATGATCTAGCTTCCATGTTAGGGTGCTTTGAAAAAGATACGTAGCATAGGCTGCAGCGGTCTCGCCGGAGGAATGTACCGATAGGCAAACCATCGCGGATACGTGCAACCACATCTGAAGCCTTTGGGGACTGGATGTTTGCGTTTCACTCTCAAACCTAAACACTTTAACGGAAATCTAAGCCTAAAGCCTGTATATAAATATATAGCTGTATAATAAATACTTAAAACCAATTATAAACATAATTATGCATATATATATATATATATATATGAATATTAAATATGATGACGTTCGGCATGTGCCTGAAGGCGCCCTATCTGCTCACGGAGGGGAACGAGTGCGGACTATGCCCCGACAACTGCGAGAAATGTACTTTTGGATTGAAGTGCGATGTTTGCAAGGCGTACCCGAGCTGATTTTGTACCATGAGGCCCCCTTTGTATGCCATCTGCACGCCATGTATAAGAATTATGTGGTGCTCTTTTCGACCACTGAAGCATATAAAACCCTAAACCCTAAACCCCCGAAGCATATAAGTTCCAGCAGCCGAGGCCTTTTGGCTGGACCGACGATTGGAAGTGCGCCAAGTGCGAGCCAAACTGCAAATCCTGCAGATACAACGGAGCCGCGAAGTGTGACGAGTGCAAGGAGAACTATGCCCTGAACAAGGCGACCAAGAAATGCGAGAAGTGTGCCGATCACTGCGAAAGTTGTGACACTCAAGGGGGCGGCAAGTGTGATGTCTGCAAGGCCGGGTACGGATGGACGAATGATTGGAAGTGTGCACCCTGCGCCGCAGGGTGTAAAGATTGTGCCCAGGCGGGAGCAGGTAAATGTAACAATTGCCAGCCCAAGCACGCATCTAGGCGGCACGTTAGGAATTGTTACTTCCGGTATGCTCTGATAGAGGTGCCTTTGCAATAGTATTTTGGGGTGCCCAGAAACTGCAGCTGAGGGATGGAATCAGCAGACAAATGCCTGCGAGCCCTGTGCCCCGAATTGCCAGAACTGTGGGCGTGCAGGCCCTGGTTATTGCGATGTGTGCGAGGATCCCTTTGAGGTATCGAAGAAGACATGGAAGTGCGAACGCTGTGCGGCGAATTGTGCGGAGTGCAAGAGCGCAGGAGGTGGCAAATGCGATGTGTGCAGGGTGGGGTACGGGATTATTGCAGTTCAGCAGATTTGCGGCGAATGTGATCCAACAAACAAGCGGTGCAAAAGCTGCGATCGTGCTGGCGCTGGCAAATGCGATCAGTGCAAGCCTGGATACGAGCTCGGCACGACGTCACGGACGTGTTTCAAGTCCCCAAACACTCAACCCTAAATCCTAAACCCTAAACCCTTAAACAGAACCCTATAACCGTAAGGGTCCAAGTACCTCATAGTCATATACTATCCCAAATGTATTAACCTACCTAACTACTATCCGAAACCCAAGTACCTGATTATTGGGTCCTCTCGACTTATGAGGTATTGTTCACTATACCCCCCCCGTAGAACCACAATAGAAATCACAGTTTCATATTCTCTTGGGTTTTATATGAACAAAAATAAGGGTCCTTTCGACCCTTTGGGGGGTAATGCCCTCCAGGACCTGTCTCAAGTGTGCCAGCAATTGCATCACCTGTGCCAATAACGGAGAGGGCAGGTGTGATGCGTGTGCCAAAGGCTATGCACTGACCTTGGACTCGCGGAAACTTGACTGCTCTGAGGGTTTAGGATTTAGCATTAATATAACTGAAGGGGATTAAGAAAGTTTTTCATTTTGGCTCTAAGGGCGGCTAAGGAAAACATGCCTGCCCTGCGGAAAGAATTGCCTCGGCTGTGCTCAGGCCGGCCCAGGCAAATGTGACCGCTGTGCCGACGGTTTTGCGCTTGACTCTGAGAAGACCTGCAAACCCTGTGCTTCCGACTGCAGAGTGTGCAGAAAGGAGGGTCCAGGAAAGTGTGACGATGGTGGCTGCCAGCTCAATTACGAGCTCACGGCTGCTCGTACTTGCGCCCCATGTGCCGATCATTGCGACAGCTGCAAGACTGCCGGCGGTGGGCTCTGTGACGTTTGCGCCTCACACTACGGTCTCTTAGCAGCTGAGTGGATACACTGTACACTTTTTGGGATAATATTACCCACTATAAGACTGAAAGTGTACACTTTTTAGGGGCTTATGAACTCAGCCGCTAAGGTAATTACCCTTATTCCCTTTTTGTAAGTTACCCAATACCAAAAAAAGAGCCCTTTTTATTCTTAGGTTACTGGGTATCCTAGGTCTCACTACTGGCCAGACCTGCGGGAAGTGTGCTGAGAACTGCAGAACCTGCCAGTATGCAGGCGCCTCCATGTGCCTTACCTTAACCCTGAAGGACCCACGTTTTTAAGGACTTATATATAAGGAAATCGTAATAAGGAACCTTAAAAAGGTAGGTTATTCAGGGAAAAGGTAGGGGTACTTAGAAATATTTTTTAGTTTTTTGGTTATTATACTCCCAAAGAAACAGCTAATAGTTATCATTTTTAGTTTTTGGCTCTTATACTATATTGTAATTTTTGCTAGGGTTTTAAGTTCAGTATAGGTGCGACGAGTGCAATGATGGCTACGTCCGCACAGATTCGAAGATGTGCGCATCCTGCGCCAAGAATCTAGGTTGTTGTGAATGCCTAGGGCCCCGGTTTTTTGAAGTTACTGGGTTACATACTACATGGCTAGTAACCTACTGTTCCGGCAACTGGAGCCTTAGGGAATAAGCCAGACATTCAATTTACGCCAATTTCAGTTGCCATAATCTAGATATATAAGTAGACAACACTTTCTTGTGGTCTTTTGATCACCCATGCTGAATTCAAATTCTTAAATCATATTAGGGATCCTATGGTGTTTTAAGGTGTATGTGCCTTAATTCATGGATAGTGGAGTCTCGCAAATCCAGGAACTGCCGCGGCTGTGCCATCGCTGGAGCTTACAAGTGCGACGCCTGCGAGCCGAAGTTCGGTCTTACCGAGTCTTTGCTCTGGTTGAGGGGGGGTTTAGGGGTTTAGGGTTTAGGGGTTTAGGGCCTAGGGTTTAGGGTTTAGGGCTCTTTGGGGGATCTACAGGGATCTATAGCCCCTTCCTAGGGTTCCTTAAAGGGCTCCGTAAAGGGTTCTATTAGGATCTATGGGGCGCTTAGGGTCTACTATAGGGGATCTATAAGGGAGTTTACCTGCATCCGACTAGGTTCCCCAGTAGTACCCTTTTTGCACTTTTTTTTTTTCGCGGGGGGTCTCCTTATCAAAACCGAATATTAGGCAGAAGGGTGCCCTGATTATTCTGGGGCACCTAGCCGAAAAACCCAGCTATGTTCACGGTTCCTCATTGTGGCTTCTTTCACACTTCCTTAGAAAGGGCCAAAGGAAGGGTTGAGAGTATACGGTTTCGTGTGGACGGCGTCTGGGGTTTAGGGCAGCATCCGGTGCTTGTTTCGGGTCCGAGTCGAGGCAATACTAACACTGCTCAGAAGGGTTGCAGGTATAAGACATAAGCATGGCATATTATCCCCCCGAAAAGAGAGCACTGTTCTGATTTTCTGTAGCCCCTAACAAGCACGACTATCCTATTTGAAGGTATCGCCGATTGCAATACCCTGCGTTCCCAAATTAGATGGTCCATACACAACGAGCCACCCTTTTCACTGATCTCCAAATGTTGCAACCCCAAACAAAGGTAGTTGAGTATACCGTCGCAGTTTAGGGAGTTTAGGATCCTTTGCAGCTTTCGGAAACCTGCTCGCAGACTTTTTGAGGCCGGGCAAACCTGCGAGAAGTGTGCGAAAAATTGCCGCGACTGTGCAAGGGCCGGTGCTGGTAGTTGTGATGTCTGCGATGCGGGCTACTCGGGCTCCCCTTTGTAAGTTTGTTTCGATTCTACGATAGTACAACTGCCAGGAATCCGACGCATTTGAGCAAAATCTTGCTGATTGTGGACTCGATGAACGAAGGGTGTATAAGCAGGCTGCTGAATGGCTTAAATATAGGAGCCTGATTAAGAAGCCTTGGGTCTTTCTTGAACTGAATCCTCATATTTTGGGGGATACAGGACTCAGGTTTCTTAAACGGGTTCCTGCATTACACGTTTTGTCTTTGATGTTGGAGCTCCTCGGTTTCCTAGTGTCCAAGGGTAAAAGGGGGGACCCTCAATAAGGACTCCTAGGTATATACCCTTAATATAGCTATTATATACCCATTATATAGCCCATGATAGGGTAGGGGTCCCCATTGAGGGTCCCTCCTTTTCCCCTTTGATAGTGTAAATTTCCTTGTCACAGCCAGGCCGTGGCCCTAGCAGTCAACCGATACTGATGATGGTCTCATGATGTTCATAACTGTACTATAAGCTGAAAGGTCCAAGTACCCAAATAGTAGGGTTTCAAAGTCCAGGTATGGATTTTGGGACCTAAAAGCCTACTATTTGGGTACTTGGACCCTCTGGGTAATGCAATACCGCACAGTACAATGTAATATAAAATGCGATAGTACACGTGGCTTCAAATGGTGTGTTGCCCGCCGAGGCTATGTGGTGGACGGCCACGACTGCCTTCCTTGTGCTCAGAACTGCGATAGTTGTCTGCGTGCAGGAACCAAGAAATGTGATGCAGACGCTTGTCTGTGTTCGACCTGGCTCTTTCAGGCTTGCCTGTCGTGTGTCCCCTACCATCTGCGCAATCCCCTGTAACCTTCGCGTTTTGAGTGCAGCTGGCAGCCAAGGGAAATTGCTATTTGGGCTTCGGTCTCACGGCGAACAAGCAATGTGCAAAGTGCAGTGCAAACTGCATGACTTGCACTAACGCAGGATCCTGCGACGCTTGCGCGGAGGGCTACACTCTCAATGGCTCGTCAACTTGCGACAAGAACGGTTCGTGGCTACCATACCTAGGTGCCATCATCGTCTTGCTCCTGGCCTGTTACCGAGCCCAATAGGTGGCCCCATTGAGTAACTTGTTCGCTCGCTCACTCACTCACTCCCTCACTCACTCCCTCTCTCTCTCTCTCTCTCTCTCTCTCTCTCTCTCTATGTATGTCTAATACATTATCATCGAAGATGTTGTAGTATGTTGCTTTGCACTAAGAAACCCTAAACTAACCCTAAACCCCTAAACCCTTAACCCCTAAACCCTAAACCCTACCCCTAAACCCTAAACCCCGAAACCCCTAAATCCTAAACCCCTAAACCCTAAACCCTAAACCCCAAAGCCCCAAACCCCTACACCCCTAAACCCTAAACCCTGAACCCCTAAACCCCTACACCCCTAAACCCTAAACCCTGAACCCTACACCCTAAACCCCTAAACCCTAAACCCCAAAGGGTTTCCGTGAAAACGCGCGGGACCCAGGCTCGGAGGAGGCGCCTCACTCTGGTGGTTCTATGGCCAAAAACCCCAAGATGCTGGGCTCTTTGAGGGGGTAGAAGCTGCCCCCACACTGTAATAGTGACTTTATATTAGGGCAATATTATATTCCCATTATGCCACTATTACAGGGTGAGTGCCCCTTCTAAGGTTTAGGGTTCCTTTCAGGGATCCTTTTTGGGGTTTGAGGGGTTTAGGGCTCCTTTAAGGGAGCCTTGTCTAGGGTCTAGGGGTTTGGGGTTTAGGGTTTCTTTGTTCAGGAACTCAATTCAACTTGTCATGATCGGGATTTGTAGTGAATAACATGGTAACTTCAGTGAGTTGGCTAAACTCCCTAACATAGAAGCCTTATCGAAAATTTCAATTGAACCCTAAGTTACGGTAAATTAAGTTCTTAGCAAGAGCCCAGGAAGGTTCGGCCCGGGAGAGCGTCTACGCTCCCGAGAGCCGCGCGCCTTTGAGCGGCGCACAGGAGACCGGGGCCAAGTGAAGCGGCTTCAAAGGGGCTTACAATGTTTATTTGTAGGAATTACAGGGTTGTATGTGGGTCTCATAGAGTTTTGTCATTGTTGGTGTCAAAAAAGGTAGGTGTTAGATCGCAGATAGTGCTACAATCGTTATTGTAAGTTTAAGCGGCTTGCTAGTCGTAGCAAGCGCGCAGGAGATTCAAATGGAGTCGCTGGGCCAGGGCGCATCTTGGTGGCGCTGGGGACCCTAAGCCCAAACCCTAAATCCTAACGCTTAGGCATTAGGAGGGTTTAGGGTGTTTCGGGATGCCCTCAACCCATAAACCCTAGAACTTTTCAAGCCTTTAATGTCACGCTCAGTCTGAGAACCGCCCCTTGAGAATGGTCAGAATCTTTCCCCACAGGTACAGGGGATCTTATATGTTCTTGTTGCATCTGATTACTGATGTTTCGGCTCTTGAGTACGGGATGAGGTGGGGGGATTATGGGTACGGCTTAGAGCTTTGGGTATGGGTGCTGATGCACCCAATAGAGCTCATTTTCTGGGGAGGATTCACGGCAGTCTACCTGGCACCACTTGGACTCTTGTTGTAAAGACAGTAGGTTCCAGGGAGCAGGGTGGACTGGGAACGCAGGATGCGGATACTTATAAACCCTATATACTATACACCCATTTTCAAAGGTCATGTAAACCTGATATTGAAAAAACCATAGATAAACAATCTGCAAACCTAGTTAATAGGGTTTAGGGTTGGGAACCCCAAATCCGAAAACCCTGCACTGTACGTCTAAGTCCTCTATACCCTGATTTACTAATGCCCGTAGACCACACCCTACAGCCTGACAGCCCTGAAGCCCTAGCCTAAAGCCCGTGACCCTAAACCAGGCCTGGTACCTTGAGCTTGTCATAGTACCCTTATAGGCCCCCTTAAGCCAACTTTGACTGAAGGAAACCCTGAACTCTAAACCCCTAAACCCTAAACCCCTACATCCCTAAACCCTAAAACCCTAAACCCCTAGACCCCAAACCCCTAAGCCCTAAACTCCTAAACCCTAAACCCCTATAAACCCTAAACCCCTAAACCCTCAACCCTATAAACACTAAGCCCTATAAACACTAAGCCCTGCACCAGGCCCACCATGCTCAGGCCTTCCAGACTGCCCTGATGTACCCAAGTGGAAACTTGACTGCTCTTAGGCATTATGTTTCATGTCTTATGATGGTAAAACTGCATGAAGGGGAATTATGTTTCATTTTATTATGCTTCATGTCTTATTATGACAAAACTGGAGGGGAATTATGTTTCATTTTTGTTATGATAGAACTTAGGGGGATTATATGATGAGAATACTAGTTGCTTTCTGGTTCTAAGGGCGGCTAAGGAAAGTGGGCCGGCTACTACGTGCAACTCGCAGAGGACGGTTCCGGCCCGGAAACTGGGCCGGCTTTTAGGAACTTCAGTTCATGCACGCTGCCATGCCCCTGTAGTTGGTTTGCATGGTGCCTGTTTTCTTACATACGGATTTCAGAAAGACGGGTATGCACAACCAGTATGCTCTTGATCTAAAATGATTATCGTCAGAAGGCCTATACAGTGATTAATATACTTTCCTAGTTTCACACCCCTTTACAACAGCCCAGGAACGAAATCCAGTCGAGTTTGACATTGAATTTGGGCCCGATGGGTCTATCAGCGGCAGTGGCACTGATGATGTCGGTGAATACTGGCTGAAAGGTCAGGGAACGCAGACAGGCAGCATATGGATTACCAAGACCTACAGCTCCCATGAGGCAGGGAATATCACCAGCACAGAATCTCACTTTTCCAGAGCCACCCTAAATCTTAACTGGCCGTTTAAGGAATTACGTACTGTATAGAAACCCTAACGAGGAAACCGAAAAAAGGGTAGGCATTTTGGGCCTCACCGCTACTGCTTTGGGCAGACTGCAGACCCGAAGCTCTGACCTGATATCATAGGGATCCTTAGGGGTGTAGGGGGAGGGGGGGTAGGGGGCCTTAAGGCCCATAATAAGGACTAATAAGGCCTATTTAAGGAAATATAGTTCCCTACACCCCTCCCCCCTACACCCCTAAGGATCCCTATGATGATACGGGTTCAGGGTTTGGAGGTTAGGGTTTCGGGTTTAGGCCAATATTATTCTCGGGATTCCATACTACATCTCTACGCTAAAAAGCCCTAGTCTAACTATTCAGCCCCCTACAGTATAGCAACCCTGATGAATCTACACAAATGTCGATGATCCCGGATGGAAAGGCTGCCAGTGTCTCTGGCAAGCACATCTCCCCCTAAACCCTAAACGTTGGGTACTGCCCCCACTCAGTAACAGTTGGATAACATTCAAAACATAGATAAATAAGGCCCTTAAATAGTAGCCCTATTATAGAGTGTTACCGTATGGGGGCCGTACCCAACCTAAACCCCTTCATTCCTAACCCTGCATGAACCCTAAACCCTAAACTGGGTAAGCCCTAAGCCCTGAATTTCTTTAGCTGGCCTTGTTTGCTCTAGGGCTCCATAGCTGTGCTGAATCTCGACCCCCAGGCGATATCTAACCCGAAGATGGGGGCCATACTAAAGAGAATTGCCTATACAATTTTGGTGGTTCCTGTAAAGGGGTCTATAAGGGCTACTATACGGGCTATGTGGGGGGCTCCCTACTATAATCATAATAGTATAATGGGCCCCAAAGCCCTGTTCTAACTATTGAGGCCCCCATAGTATAGCACCCTATTATAGATCCCTTATAGACCCCTTTAAAAGAAACCCTTTAAAGGAACCCTAGTCTAATTATTAAGGCCCCTATATTAGGTAGATTAATCGTTGAAAGTTCCATTCCACAGGGTGCCCGGAACCCGGGGCCTTTCACACCTGGGGTTCGGTGTTGTTTCTGGTTTGGGGCACCCTAAACCCTAAATCCTAAACCCTAAACCCTAATCCCCAAACGGTACCGTAAGAATCTACTGAACCGTCTTTTTTCTGCAGCAGAACCCTGAACTCTGGATTTAAGGTTTTGGGGTTGCGTGGACATCAGCAAACGCAACGGCAGCGGCAGCAACAACAACAACGACCACTGCTACTACTACAACAACACTACTACTACTACTACTACTACTACTACTACTACTACTACTACTACTACTACTACTACTACTACTACTACTACTTCTGCCTACTTCTTCTTCTTCTTCGTCTTCTACTTTTGCTTCGACTTCTACTCCGGCTGCTGCTCCTAGTGCAGCTACTGCCACTGCTACTGCTGCTACTACTAGTGCTACTGCTACTACTATTTCTACTACTAGAAAAAACATGTTATTATTCACATGGTTCCAAGCGTTATAGAAGTCGGCCAAGTGTCGTAAGACGGCAGGTGCAGTACGAGGGCAATATGGTTGGCTCCAATCTGGCAGCGGGAATCAAGGGCACCTGGCGCATCCACGACGCCCGGCCTCCGTTCGCTGGTTTAGGGTTTAGGGTTCATGGTCGGTTTTGGGGGATGCAATTTACAAGGCGGTCTCCTTGTTCAGGTAAGCGCCAATCCCGGACCGATTGCCATGCCATGCTGCAGTAGTTCGACATATCTGTACTCATTTAGAAAAGTTGGTTCACTCAAGAGAGCATGATTTCTCAATGGTGGCCCCTTTACAAAGACCTTGAGCACAACCCCATGATGCTATGTGCATGTTTGCATTGTGCATTCCCCGAGTCGGATAGACTCAAAGCCCTCAACGATTCGAGGGGTTTGGAGACTGCACATTCATGTTGGGGTTTAGCTTTCATGGGTCTCGTTGACCTGACGCTCCCAAATTTGACCATTAAGGAGTATGACTTGGTTTAAGTCCTATTAAGGAGCCGTCTACGATACAAGGAATATACTGAATATAGTCCTAAACTAGGCCTGTTACTACAGATCCCTCAGTCCTGCATCGAATTTGGAAGCACTGTTTTCCCATAGTCCCTCTGCAATTCACTTAGCATACCCTGGACAACCCCTTCCATATGGGTGGCTCTCAAAATTAGGGTCCCTTTTTGGGTCCTTAATATAATACGGCACCGAAAATGTATGGTACCCTAGACCCTTCTTGGAGTCGCTGCGTGGGACTTTAGGAAAAATGAGCTCAAAAAAAAACTAAACCCATATGTGTCGTCAGCTCCCCATCAGCTGGCCGAGGACGACTCTGACGGCGGCATCCATGCGGAGGATCGAATCAACAACGACACGTTCTACATTTGGCCTCCGGAGTCATGAGGGAACCTCGGAGTCTCAAGAGAGATATGGCGTTATATGGAATTATATGTAAAGTGCACGGGTGTGTGTGAAGGTTTGCATGTTTACATGCATGTGTGTATATCTGTGTACATACATGTGTATATATATATATATATACATACATCCAAGCCTCAGCGTTTCTGTACAGGGTCTGGAGTGTAGCGATCCTCGAATCCTCAGTCGGGAGGTAACCTTGGTGGTTTTACAGAATTGAGGGAAGGAGCTTTATAAGTTAAGTGACCCTAGTAGGGACCTGTATAGTATTTCATGGTTTCTCAAATTAGACTCCTCAACAAGAACCTGGTTTATGCCCGGAGATTCCGGGACACCTCGGCGAGGAATAAACCTTGGGTCTTGTTTTCAGGATTTGAAGTTTTGGATTTATTCTTAGAGACCCTTAGCGGGGTAGGGGGAGGTGGGGTAGGCCTTAATGCCCATAATCAGGACCTGACAAGGCCTTTTTAGGAAGTATAGTCCCCTACCCCCCTATAGGGATCCCTATGGTTTACTGCAGGCTGTCTTCCCTATTCAAGAAGCACAGCAGCTTATCCGGGTTCGCAAAATCTTGAAATGTAGGGTCAAGGTTACAGTTTCGGGTAGTTAAGCATTTTCAGTGGGCTACAGGGTTTGGGGCTTGAGTTTGGGAACCGAATTTCAACAACAGTTCTGCATCATCTGAATCAGGGTTAGGCTTGGTATCAGTTCTTGCTTCGGTTGTGGGGGGGACTCTCACAGGGGCGGCGTGTGGGGGCTTGCAGGACTAGGGCGACTAGGGCTCACGGTTTGATGTGTTGCTCTATCTTTCCCAGGAGCGACCAGCCTTATCGTTGACTCCTGGAGAATGCAAACCGGAGGGCTAAATCCTAAACCCGTCAAGATCTACACGCTAACCCCCTTAAAACACTGAAATCCTAAACCCTGAACCGGATCACCATCCTTCGCGATTTCTGAATCGCGCAAGCAATGCCACGTAACAGACTGGATCCAGGGTTTAGAATTTAGGGTTGCATTTCCCGAGAGCATCATAGGCATCTTTGCATAGCTTCGCCAGCCCCCAAACCACCCATCACAGGCACTGACGAGTGCCCGAAAGCATCAGCGCATAAACCCTAACCCCAAAAGCACTACAACAAAACCCCCCTGAACCCTAAGCCCCAAACTCTAAAACCCTGAACCCTAAACCTCAACCCCAAGACAAAACTCCGATGACATGCTGAGGATGCTGACCATCAGCCGCAAGTCTCGGATTCCTGGCTCCTAAGCTTCGCTCAGGGGTTTAGGTGTTAAGATTTTGGGAGTTTGGGGTTCAGGAGTTTAGGTTCAGGTGTTAAGATTTTGGGAGTTTGGGGTTTAGGAATTTAGGTGTAGGGGTTTACGGTTTGGGAGTTTAGGGTCTAAGGGTATGTAGGGTGCAAGGGTGGGGGGCGCCTGGTTTAAGGAGGTCCTATCAAAGATGTTCTTGTCAAGGGCTCATGCATAGGGGATCCTCATGCTGATGGACAAACTCCTGCGGTATTCCTTAATGGTTCCTGATGAGGACTCAGGGGATGATGAACATGCCAGCTTCTTTCAGTGAATGGTGCCTAGATGATTGCGGATCCTAAAGCCCCAAAAAGGCCGTAAACCCTAAAAACCAAACCGAAAGTCCGGCAAAACCCTACACCGGCAAGGGGTCTGGGCCGATCCAGAAACGGACGTTTCAATGACTGAGACCACTTGCTCAGAGTTAGCTCCCCATAAGACTAAAACCTGAAGCAATCCTAAACCCTGTAACCCTAAACCATATACCCTCAAAACTCTGTCCTATGTACCCGAAGCCCTAAACCCTAAGCCCAAGTGCAATAACTTGGCTTCGTCACTTTTGTTTCTCATCGGAGGATCCTAGCCCAAAAATGGGGTGTGGAAAAAGACTACATTCCAGGGCTTCTAGTGTCTAGGTGACTGTTCGATTGTTTAATGTCCCGCTCATACACATACACATATCTATATATATATATATATAGAGAGAGAGAGAGAGTTTTATCATGTGTATATATATATACAGATAGATAGATATATGCATACATACGTACGCACATGCAGGTTTCTGCGTAGCAACTTCAGAAATTCCGGGCCTGTAGCCTCGGGCCAAGCCGGAACCAGGGTCTAGGGTCCAGGGTTCAGGGATTCGTATTTAGGATTGAGGATTTAGGGTCAAGTAAGAACGTCGGCTCAGATTGAAGCATGGGGGTCGATGGCCGTGGGAGGTTGACTACACTCACGAGCCAGAAGGGCGTTTAGGGTTTAGAGCTATGGGTTTAGGGCTTCCTTTCGCAGTGTGGGTTCAGGAATCTGGTTAAAGTCAATCCAAATTGACGACAGCCGACGCACAAATGCCGTGGTTCTGGCGTCGCTCTAAATCCTGCTGTCAGCAACGGCCCCAGCCAGTACGGTATGGGGGTTCTGGAAATTACTATACCCGACACCCTAAACCCTAGAGGGCCCTTATCTTTTTGAAACTCCCAGATTTGTCGCGGCCATCCCAGGACCTGGATCTATCGTGATCAGAGATGATGGCCAAAGCAAGCCGGGTCGTCTCTACAAGAACTTTGGAGTTTACGGTTCAGGAACCGTAAGCTGAATTAAACCCTAAACTATCCTAAACCCTATATGTTAAAACACGCCCCCTCTTTTGGTGATAACGGCTCATCATATGTATGTGTATATATATATATATAACCTTTAGCACGCCTGAACTGTACTTAAACAGGCTTTGGGAGCTTAGGCGGTAGGATCCGCAAGACACGACAGCTTCTTCTGGGTCCTTTTGCAAATGCACTCTGAAAGATTTTTGCCCTGCAGCATTTCTCGACGTAATCGTCAAGTAATATAAGGGCCTAATTATCAAATGCATTTTTTTTTTTTTTTTGGGGGGGGGTCCTTATGGGCCCAAAACTCTATTAGAATTATTTAGGCCCCGATATTATGCAATCTCGTGCTTGCGAGATCATGTTCTGTCATACGGTGATCTTCGCATTGCTGGCAACCCCAAAGCCCTACAGCCAAAATCCCTAGACTAGACCAAACCTACACCCGAAACCCTACACCCCAAACCCGGAGATGCACCCAGTGAAGATCACAGGGGCCTCTTCCTTTTAGGGGAAAGGTTCGAACAACCGCGCAGGCGAGATTTAGCCAGCGACGCTTTGATTGTGCATTATGATACACGACAGTACATGATAGTATGTTTGAATACTGTAAATCATCATATATTAGGATATGGGATGGCCGGGATAGCATTATAGTTTACCAGATTTAGCCAGCGACTCATCGATTGTGTGGCCACGACTGTGCCAGCCAGACCAACGACATCGGCGTGAGAACAAACAAGCCAAATTTGCAGCTAGTGTCCTGTTGGCGAACCCCAAACTTAAAATCGTGCACCCCGAAACCCTTGCCCTCAGCCCCGAAACCATAATAGCTAAAACCTAAACCCTCAGACCCTAAGACTAAGACCCTAAAACCCCAAAGCCTAAGTAGGACGGCTTGCTGCGCATCGAAGCTGGCACTGGTGTTCGCTTGGCTTGTGCGTGGGTTGGAACCAGTAGCAGTAATAGTGTCTCTCCTTTAAACCATACTTGCTGACAGTGTATTTACACATATATATATATGTATGCACAGAATGTATACTTACTCCAAAGTCTCTTCCATCTTGAAGCCCTGAGGGCTTCCATCTTGAAGCCCTTGTGAGCCTTCGTTGCCTGTCAGGTTGACGATGGTTTGTTGCTCAAGAGCTTCGCCGCGTAGCGAATCTTGCGCACTCAGTGGGAAGGTAGTGGCCAGCTCCGCAGAAACGGTCTAGGGCTTTAGTGATCCTTTTCCTCGTGCTTCTCGTGTAGGTAGCTCACCTATCGCTGACGTGTGTGTGAGCCATGGGCGGTGCCCAGTCGCAGACGGAGGTTCGCTTTGCTGTTCACGTGCAAGCGGCTAATATACAAGCCTGAATAACTAGTAATGTTTTTGTTTCCTCTAATGAGTGAGGCCCGTATGATGGGAGATAGGAAGGTTTAGCATTGCCACTCAGATCCCGCAACTATACTACTTTGCGGGTGGTAGTCACCCTAGATGCCGATGCTGTCGTCATCGATGCGACGTGCCCGTGATATGATATGCCAGTTGTTCTATCGTTGGTATGGAGTTTTTTGAGTTCGAGAAGAAGATCTATGGTTTGGGATTTAGGGTAGAGTTTCGGAAAAGGGTTCCTTCAAGTGCAAGTTTTCCTCAAATATCGCTGCATGTTTGTGCCGCCTATGCTCCAAGAAACTGGCGCAAGAAGCAGCCCCAAACCCATCTAATATAGGGGCCCAAATAACAACCAAGATGCACGATTTTGAGGGTTCCTTATTGTAATATGGCATAAGATACTCGAAAACCCTACTCTAATTATTATTAAGGCACCTCTATTAGGCGGGAGCCTTAAAGGGTTTAGGGGTTTGCGGTTTAAACTCAAAACCCTTAAACCCTAAACTCCTGAAGCCTGAACCCCAAGGCTCCACACAAATCCCGACGGTTTAGGGTTTAGGGTTTGGGGTATTCTCAATGTTTCTCAAGGCACAGAGCCCTGATATAAAGGGGCCTGGATAACTAGCAGTTGTGTTTGTTGCGGTCCCTGATTATCGTCTTACTATTATAAACCACAAAGCCCGATTCTACTCGTCAAGAGAGAGCCCTATGTTAGCCCCATGTTCAGTCGAATGAAGAAAGCATCGAAAGTTGTAGCTTTGGAGTTCAGAGTTTAGCGCCGTCCGGCTTTCCAGTTTTAGTGCATCGGGATTAGGGTTTTGTGGCTTTCCTGAGTTTGTACATAAGGCTTAGTGTTTAGAGTCTGCTTTCCGGCTTTAGTGCATAGGGTTTAGGCTTTACGGCCTTTAGGGTGTGTTTCCAGTTTTGTGATTAGGTGTCAGGGTTTTCCGCGCAAGTACATGCCGGCGTGCGCTGTCGGTATTTGTGTGTGTGTGTGTGTCAATGTAAGTGTGCGAGCCTGTGCGAGAGATGAGTTTCGCGTTTGCATTGCGAGCCTTGTTCGGCCATGCATTTACTTGCATTTTCTGACAGTTTTCCAAAACTGGGAACACCGGCCGGAATTGCTTCTAATCAACAAGGCAGGCCATCACATAAGGACACGCATAAGCCCAAACGAAAAAGATGTGCTTAACCAAGCAACAGTTTCATTTACCTACAATATTCATTGTAGTTCCATTTTGGGGCCACCTTAAAAGATCCTCAACATAAATATGGTTAAACCAGACAAGGAACTACAATGGAAACTGTACGTAAACCTCGGATTCCACAAACTGACACAGAAGCCTGCATAGCGCCCCTAGATTACACAAGAACATATAAAGCTATCATAACCTAGGTTTCCGTAGGCGCTTATTCTATTCTAGACCTTCATATTGAATTTAGAAGGGCCCTGCAAAATGTAGGTTCTGTGGATTATGCAAGAACCGCCGACCCTAAACCCTAAACCCCTAAACCTCTAAAACCCTAAAGCCCGAAACCCCCAGAGCCTGCCAAGCTCGAGGATTCCGCAAACCCTAAAACCCTAAAGCCCGAAACCCCCAGAGCCTGCCAAGCTCGAGGATTCCGCAACGGCGGCCCCTGAAGGAATCCGGGAAGGGAGGGGGGTTTAAGGGATTTAGGGTTTAGGGTTTAGGGTTTAGAAAGTTTACGGTGTGCCAGCACCCCCAACTACCCGCTATTATACCTTCAATACTAAATACCCTCTAGTAAGGACCATAAGGGCTCTATCAAGGGGTACTTGGGAGGCTTTAGAGTGTGGGTTTAGGGTGTTGGGCTCGATGGGTTGAGCTATAGCCCTCGGCTTGGGGTTCTTGGCAAGGGTTCCATACCATGGTGATACAGGTTTGGCTATTTTGCAGATTGCAGGGCAGGGTTTGTTGGTTTAGCAAGCTGGGAATTGTTTTGCTCTAGCCAAGCGCGTCTTCCCATGAAGCTGGGAGGGCATGGTGCGAGGTTTCGGGTTCAGTGACTGGTGTTTCGGTTCGGCTTCGTGGTCTAGCACTGGTCCTTTTGGATGACAGTTTTCGTGTGTGCGATGCCTCTTGACTCCACCTGCAACGGTGGGATTTGGTCGTTGTTTTCTGTATCTTGGTCCTTTTGGGTGAACAGTTTGCTTTTACTGCAGGGGCCTTAAGAATTGCAGTATGGTTTCGAGGTAGATTTTTACCCAAAGGGAAGAATATTAGTGACTGTTCAGGCTTCTACCCCCCCAAGGGTCTAAAGGACCCAATAATCAGGTACTTGGGTTTAGGATAGTAGTTATATAGCTAATATTTGGGAGAGTATAGGATTAGTAGGTACTTCGACCCGTAGGATACATTGGACCCGATTTCAGGTTCACAGCTTCCGTCTGCTACAGTCGAAGCCTTATCCACCAGTAGCTAGTATAAAAGTCCCTGCTCGGGGCTCCATGTTATTAGCCCCAAGTCCACTTCATAAATCCCTAGCCGCCCCCGAAATGCTTGAGAAGGCAAGGCCTTTCCCAGCTTCTTTGCTGTTCCTCGCCGGAGCACTATACGGTTGATGATATAAATCCTGCATTACCCAGAATAAGGAATATGCCATAATTCCCATATTTTAGGGTCCTTAAGGTAATTCAGGATTTATGTATTCAACCGTCTGACCCATGTAAACAGTTTATGGGTTCGAAAAGTAGCTGCTTCTTATACGGTTTCCGTACATGTCCTGGAAGAGCCCGCATAAGGCTGCTACGCGGAACACCTGAACTCCAAAAACAAGCTCAACCCAAACCCTATATAGACGCTTGAACGACTTTTGTCTGGATGGGCTCCATCCCCTAATTAAGCTGTTTTCCTGAACCCTACAAGTCCTAGAATCTGCTTCAATATAGGGGTCGCAATTTCTGATAGTTGCATCCCCTTATAGTCCTCGTATAACAACTCGTTACCAACAAACCCTATCTAAATTTTGCGCATATGATTACGGCCCCTATCCTAAACCCTGAGCCCTAAACCCCTGAACCCTAAACCCTACTGGCACAGACAGCTCCCTGTTCCGGTCCTGTGTGCAGCTGCAACAGCTTTTCGATTTCTCAAACCTGCGGTTTTAGGGTTTTACTTGGACGGTCGGGGGACTTAGCAAGTAGGCTATAAGTAGACTTATAAGCACCCTAAAACGGACTCTAATTGGGATTATGATACTGCTAAGGCCTTAACATAACTACTTACTAAGTCCCACCAAGTAGCTTTGGATTAAAACCTGTGGTTCCTTAACAAAGCGTAGTTGGGCTATCATTGAGGGTTGGTTGGGGCATCACGGAAAGGTTCGGGTTTGAGGGTTGAGGATAGTTCTCCAAGGACAAAGCGGCCAGGTAGGTGGTACCCGAAAGCTACTGGAAGGACAGGGCAACACAAAAGGTATTGCCGAAAACTATCACAAATGTTTACTCCGTAATCATCAGCATGCAGCTACAGCAAGTTATGCATTCGAGCTGGCGTACCCTGCGACCACGAATGGGATTCCTCATTTTATTCCGTACGGGTTAAGTTCCTTGGGATGAGGGTTTAGCGCTCAGGGCATTTGTCTGCCATGGAGCGTCGATGGCGGCGGAATGGTCTGGCGGTAGGCTTGCTGGTAGTGGTGTCTCAAGCGCCTCGCATGCATAGCAGAATAAATTTGAAAAAACACTAGATCAATCCCTAAAATGTCATCTGTCCAAAACCTGAAAGGTAGACCTCCGACTCCAAACAGCCCAGCGCACCTCGACAAAACCGTTTGGCGCCTAATGATGCGTTGACGGAGTACAGGACAAGCCCCCTACCCGTCCAAGTCCTGCGAAAACCTTATAACAAGCCCACACCTATAAACCCGAAACCCTGTATCCAGATAAACTGGGCTTCGGTGCCGCCGGCAGTGCCGCGGCGCTCCGCAGCTGTGACGGCCGTGCTGGCTGGGCATATCCTTGGCAACATGGCTTCGGCTCAGCCTATAGGGTATAGGGTTAAGGCTCATACCGGGTTTAAGGGTTTAGGGCTTCAGTTAAGGCTTTGGTTTTTAGGGGCTGAGGGTTATGGTTGCTTTTACGGCTTTCTACCGAAATTCACCATGTGCGGGGTGCTTTACGGAAGTGTTCCCTGCACGGCTATCTTCCCACAATGGGTTTAATTCGAGCAAGGTTCGAAAGAGCCACCTGTAACCCTAAACCTGTAGAGCAGGAGATGCATGCGCGCAAGCTTTAGCAAGAACTCTCACTGAAAAAATGCTCCTGACCGATATCCAGAGATTTGAGGTTGACTTTGGGAGTTATTATGATAGGGAACCCATGGAAAGCCCCCAGTATCAACAGATCATGACCACTGTGCTCCCGTGACAACGAAACAGCTAGAACTAGTAGTCCCAGTGATAGTCATCATGATGACTTAAACCCTGAACCCCTAAAACCGTAAACCCCTACATAAACCCTACCCCCTAAACCCCAAACCCCAAACCCCTAAACCCCTAAACCCTAAACCCCTAAACCCTTAAACCCTGAAACACTGGCCTGGGATCTGGTTACCCTGTTCCTTAAAGGAAACATACTCTGATCTCCGGTTTTCCCGTCAAAGCCCAGTAGAAGACTTGCGTTGAGCTTGAGGGTTCAGGTACCCGAAACCCTGAACCCTAAACCTAAGCCTTATACCGTGAAGTTCAGGTTCCGGGGTCGAAGAATCTCTCCTTGGAGGCTCATGAGGTTATAACGAGGGTAACTATACTTATAACTATATACTTATAACCCCAAGTAGGGTACTTATAACCCTACTTACTAAGTCCCATGATCCTCCAAGTGCTCGGACCTGTAGACTCCAGAAGAGGGCCTTGTTGCGGGCACTGCTTAGAGCTCTGAGATGGCTGACGAACAAATTCTGCATCCTAAACCCAAGGTTCAGCGATTCCGGTTCAGGGTTTACCTTAACCCTGAATAACCTACATTTTTCGTTCCTTATTATGATTTCCTTATATTTGTAGGTCCTTAAAAAGGTAGGTTATGCCGGGTTAAGGTCGTTTATGGGCATACATCCGCAGGAACAGCCCGAAGCCTCGAACCCTCAGCACTGCGACCTTTCGCCCCTTCGACACAGGGCTCAGCTTCGCCTGACACGAATTTGAACCTCAGACCTCAACCCTTTAACTTAAGCTGCACACCGAGTACAAACTCCAAACTTCCCAGAAACCCTCCATTATAGTTCCTTTTTGTGGCTCATGTTAAGGACCCTATAAGGTAATCCCCAAAAAAGGAACTACTATGACGCATGTAGGTTAACTCTACACTTTAAAGCCGTCCAGCAACAGCCCAGAGGAAGTTCAAGAAGTGCTCGGGCAGATGGCCCGATTGAAGACTTGCAGAAGAGGCCTGGGACAAGGGTGCTGCAACAGTTCCTTCGAGGGTTTCGTCCCAAACCCGAAGCCCCAAACCGTAAACCCTAAACCCTAAAACCCTAAACGCCTCGCAACAGCCGGTACATGCTCACTCCATACACGGCACCTAGTACCCAAAAAGGGACCCTAATTTTGGCAACCACCCACGCGATGATCAGTGAGCCTGGATATTGTCCACCCTGCATGCCTGGTTGAAGAGCCTGGAGACTCGGACGCCCTTACCCAGAGCCTCCAAAACTCCTTAATTAAGGAATATACCTTAAATTCGATTAGGATCCCTTATATGATTTAAGGCTAAGGTATATTCCCTAATTAAGGGGTTTTGGAGGCTCTGGGTATGCCTTACAGTAAAACCCCATAAAGTTGGAAACCGGGATAAGGCCAAACCGTGCCGGGATTCCCTATATCACTCCTAAGAATTGAGGCTATTGGGTTTCCAACTTTTGGGCTTCTACTGTAAACCATATTAAGGTTCCGATTAATGATTAATATTTCAGGTTATTCCCTAGTTAAGCGGCTTTGGAGTCCCGGGAGGTTGGACAAATTTTCCGATGAGCTCGATGCAATGGCTGATCAATACAACCCGACGCTGGGCCAAGGATTCAGAGCTGTGGGGTTACGATAAGACCAGGGCTAAGGGTTTAGGGTTGACATAGGGATCGGAATAAGTACTAGTACTGGTGATCTCCCCTTATAGGCGTTACAAGCAGTCATGGTACATCATGGTACCACACCCCCCAAGCCTACCATAGGGGCCTAAATAATATACCCCAAAACCTACTCTTATTAAGGCCCCTATGTGGCTGTTCGGAGATTGCAGGCCGAAGCGTATTTTCATATGGTCTGCTTCGTCCTTGTGCACGTGCACGCATGTGTGTGTGTAAGCACAATGCGCTCTTAAAACGATGCAGTAATCCTTCGCTCGAGTACGTTCTGACGGAGCCAGCGCTGGAGCCTCAGGTGTTTTCTCAATCGTGATCGCATCAGGGCGCGTCATATGGAGCATTACTCAGTTGCAAAAAGACGAGCAGCGATTACATCCTGTCACGATGAACAAGACTGTCGAAAGCTCCAGGACAAGCGCTCGCCCTCTGCGACCTTTGAAACCTGCGGCGTTGCGCTTGTCCTCGCCTCAAACAGATCGTTGCGATTCTTGAGCTTCTTTGCATGTATTCTCAGGATCGGCTGGGGCCCGTAGACGCAGAGGCAGGCGGCTGAGCCGAGAAAACAAGATCGCTTGAGTTGCAAGCGTGTTTTAAGCGACTTGAAGGTTTGAGCCCCGAGCACGGTCTGAGTGACACAAACAGCAAGATCCGGACCTTTATCTGCTTTGGCTCGCAGCACACTCTATCGGTTCACTTCAGTTCCTGTATTTTTGTCACGGCCTCGGCGTCAATAAGTTCTCGCGCGATTCTTGCACCCGAATCCTACAGAGGTCTTCTATCAGTAGCGCGCGCCGATCCCTTGGCACTTATCGTACGGGTTTAGACCAGCACCAGTTTTTACCTTGCTAGATGGAAACGCAACTAGCATCCTTGTTTTTGCCGTGCTAGATGGAAACCAACATGATCGATTAGCATCCTTCTTTTCTGTTTGACAAAAGAACCCAGCGTGTGCAATGCTTGCCAAATGGAAACCGGCGTGTGCAACTAGCCTCCTTGCTCCTAAATTTGCTTGTTGCCTTGGCAAACGGAAATAGATTGCAACCTGAGTCCTCTTCACTCATTTTCTGGTTTTTCTAGGCAAGCCACAAGGACATTCGGTGCAGTCGCCGAACTGCGTGCTGCAGCACATTCAAGCAGATTGCGCTCAAACTTGTAGCGACGAGAGCTCCATGACTTCCTGCCCATCCTGTCGGCTCTCGAACTGCGCCGTCGTGCTGACCCAAGTAATACCGTGCATTTTCGCCAGACGGTTTAGCATGAAATTGCGTCGAGGTGCGCCTCTTCGGCGTCAAATTGACCGATGCTTGTCCCATCTGCCTGGAGGCAATGCAATGCACTTTGGAGTAACCGAGTATTGCATTACTTTTTCCTGTCGGAGGACACGGCGGAGCGCCTTTGCGCCTTCACGCCGTGCGGACATACTGTGTGCGAAGAATGCGCGACCAGGATCCAGCAGCGTCGGAGACTGAACGACGCGACGCACCCCGTGCGTGTTTGCGAGTTTCTACTTCCAAGGCTCGACCCCTGCGTCTCACCTTGCTTCTCCGGCGGACCTTGGCGATCGCCCTGGGTTCGCTGTAATTCTTGTTGCTGTTCCTTCGTTTACTGTCTCCATAACGATGCAAACTTTAAGGAGCAACGGCACCGCCGTGGGCGTCCAGCGAAACTGGAACGACTGCGTCGGCGAGTCTTGGTCTTAGTCGACAGCTACGCAAGACGGCGAGGCGAATCGCAACCCTGTGCCACTTCGAGGCGAGACGACTCTCCTGGACGCGACCTCGTCCGTCGCCTCCGGCTGCTATCTTAGATCGCGGTCGGGCCTTATCGATCAGCTGGCAACCCGGCGTGCACTCTAAGGACCGATGCAACCTCCCTGGATTTCCGGCAACACGACACCAGTTTTCTCGGTGCGTCTGGAGCTTGCTCGGAGATCGAGAGAAGGACCTGCTCTCTCCAACTCCACTCAGGCGAAGACGACCCTTTCCAGTGGTTGGGCGAAGAGGTGGTCTGGGTTTTCCACCCCAACTTCAACGAGGCGCCGACGAGCGACGCGAGCTTTTAGTTTGATGGAAATCAATCCAAGATCAGACGGACGTGCACTCTTCTCACTGAGGTGGTGCTGCAAGTGACCGAGACGAACCATCTGTGTCAGCTCGGCAACTGGAGGCTTCGCCCGGCGGCTCCGGCCGGGTACTTAAGCACCTGGCGCAGGCCATCGGCCTCGGCAAATCGTCGGTGGGCACTGCAGCCAATCGCGGCGTGATTTGCCGCGACCGCAAAATGCGAGATGGTGCATGTCGGTCGTCACGGTTAGGTGAGCGGCGCTCGAAGTCACAAGTTTGTTTGTGCCCATCGAATCAAGCGGTGTCCGTCACGAGTGTGATTTGCTCAAGTGGGACAGCCTGCAAAGTTGAGGGTAGTAGCAGCATAATCCGGATGCAACATTCGCGGATACCATTACCGTCATCGCGAAGTTGAAATCGGATCAGCAGACTGACGCGGAACCGATTTTTGGTGTAACGGCAGAAGCCAAGCAAGGTTCACACGACTGTCAGGAAAACTTGTCATCGCCTCATGAGAGCAACCGGTCAGTTGTGAGAAGCAAAGTGTTTGCAAAACACATACGTGGTCTCTCTCCTCCGTCATCGCTTCATGATAGCAACCGGTCAGTTGTGAGACGCAAAGTGTTTGCAAAAAGAAATACGCGGTCTCTGCCATCGCTTCACGATACCAACCGGTTAGTTGAGAGAGACAAAGTGTTTCCAAAACGTGTACCTAGAGATTTCTGTATATAGTACTTATGCATATATACTTATGTTTACATTACCTATGTACACACATTTGTTCCGAACATTGCTATTTGAAACACTATCCTTCTCGTCGTTGTTGAACTCATCCTTAGGTGGTGGACTAAGGTCTTTACCCCGTACGCTCGTAATAGGCGACCATCACCGGAGTTTACATGCTTTGAAGCTTGTCGAGCATTCTGACATGTCGTAGACCCCCCCTACGTTTATTTCGGGAGCGGTCTGATAGACGCCCAGATCCCGAAGGCCATGGCTTCTTGAGGATTTCGGGTTTGGAGTTTAGGGTTTAGGTATTAGGGTTTAGGTATTAGGGTTTCGGGTTTGAGTTTGGGGTTTGGGCGTGAGGGGTTTTGAGTTTGGGGGTCTAGAGTCTAGAGGTTTACATAGGGATAGAAGACTGAATATTTACCTCTATGATTCCTCGGCTGCTTCTTAACGGTCCGGCTACCGAAGTTGTGCCGGATATCTTAGCAGCTGCCCCCACCCTGTCATAGTGGTATAATAGAACATAATAGGGCCCTAATATAATCTTTATAGTCACTATTACAGGGTGGGGGCAGCTTCGAACGGATATCTTTCATCAACGAAGGCCACGGCTCAGCTTCGTGAACCCGCCCCAACTGTGGTTTGGGGCTTCAAGAACGGGGACAGTGGGAGTCTCCGAAAATACGGGACTCCAATATAGTACCCTAAATTGTAGGATCCTTTTTATAAGAACCCCAAAAGTTTGGGTCTTCAAGAACGGGGACAGCAATGGCAACTTGATTGAAACTAAACATTGAAACGTGATCTTAGCAAGGGGGTAATGTAGGAACCTGATAAGAAACCCTGGGCCATTAACCCCCCGAAAATAGTAAGATTCATATAAGGAACCCTCATAAAGGCCCAAGGTTTCTGAATCAGGTTACTACATTATGTGTCTCCGAATTTGGAAGAGGCTGGGAAACTACCACGACAGACTAGAGCAGCCAGGTCGCCCCTTACAACCGAGAAGCCCGATCTCAGGATCACCTACACTTCGCCGAGTGGGGTCGTCTTCGAGTTTCCAAACCCCATCGACTACATGATGCCTGGTTGATCTTGGAGATCACCTTGTTTCTCTCTTTCGGATCTCAGCTTCGGCAGTTTTCCGGATTTCAGTCCTCTCCCTTGACCCGTAATCATTGCCTATATTCTTGTAATAAATTATAACTGAAGCAAGATATACCCACTAGCCCCATTCTCATTATTAAGACGCCTAAATCTTGGAGGCCCCAGGTTGTGTTTCCTGCTGAGGTTGTTCGGATGATGGGGCTGGCCGGTCGAGGCCCAACCCTACCTACTCCCAGTGGCAAAAAGTAGACGGAAGCCCATCAACCCTAAACCCGCAATGTGGTGATTATACTCGAACAGGCCCCCAAACCCTGTTTTGACCTACTTGGAGACTCGACGTAAGGAGCATGACAAGGGCTCTGAGCTGGTATCGCAGGAAGAACGATCTTTTTTGCTCAGAACGACACTGGCACAACGCATTCCCCGTTCCAGATACCTGATGGTCGTCGTGCAAGACAGATCGGCAACCTTGATTGACCACGCCCTAACCTCTGAGATGTGAGCCCCTCAAACCTCCAACACAGTAGATAAGAAAATTTGATCAGACCTTCGATTGTCAAAACAACAAACAAAGACGAAACAACGATTAACCCTAACCCCAACCCTAACCCCAACCCTAGCCCTAACCCTAATAATGACTAGTAAGAAATCACTGGAAAACCCGAATCGTTCGAGGATCGGGAGCGGCCAGGGAGTCAAATCGGACTTGTGGAAGGATCGCCTCTTGGAGAGGAATTAGAGAGGCCTTTTAGCGGTTTAGGGTTTAGGGTTTAGCGATTTGTGGTTGAGGTTCCGTTTAGGGCTGTGTGGTTTCCAGGGCTTTGGGTTTGGGGGCTAATACCTCGGAAGGAAAACCCCTAAACCCGAAATCCTTAAAACCTAAACCAGTGCATCCTCCTCTATCAGCTGATACATCCGGCGGTGAACTCCATGTTCTTATTTCTATCATCATTAGTATTGGTAGCATTAATTAGTACAGGAGCTAGTATTAGTACCGCTATGGTTGCTACGATCAGTTTCAAACATACATATTATTATTCTCATCACCACTGCTGTCATTGTTACTCTGCGCATGGTTGAGAAGCTGAGGAGAGAACTCCATCTACTTTATACTTAGCATAGGGTTAAGGGGTATGTTATACCAAAATTATATTAAGGAACCCCCCAAACCCCAAGATGAGGAGAGAACTCCATCTACTCAATGCTTAGAATAGAGTTAAAGGCTATGTTACTACGTATAACCATAATCGTATTAAGGAACCCCCAGAAGCCTGAGCTGAGGAGAGAACTCCATCTACAACAAGGCCATCCGGGCAGATCCCGCTGGAGCCTTCAAGAAGCAGGTGCCTTGGGGTTTAGGGTTTAGTTTAGGGCTCAGGGTTTAGGATGCGTTTATACAGAGTTTCAGGGTCTAGGATTTGGGATTTCACTTCGAGGTTTTTGAAGAGCTGGGGCTTTGGGCCTAGGGCCTAGGATTTGGGATTTTGATAGGATTCTTGCAGAGCTTCTTCAGAAGTGCATTGAATTCATACCCTGCGCCCTGTCCCAACTATTCAGGACCCTCTATCTAGGGCGCCGTCGCTTCTTCGAATGCTCCCAGGAACCTGCAAGGGAACTCTTCAGGGGTACTATAGGCTTTGTAGTAGAGTTCTGTTTAAGGGTACTCCAGGGTGGTACAACATGGTTCCGCTTAAAGGTGCCTTTTAGCAGGGGTGAGGGTGTACCTGTAAATATGAGCCGCCCCTGTAACACCTTCAATCAGTTTGTTTTGTTTGGGTTACTCGTACATGTAGAGCTTCGTGGTTGATGGTCAGATGTGATGCTCTTGATGGCCAAATTCCTGCATCCTAACCACAAGCATCTACCAGGGATTCGGGGTCAAATACCTCAAAGGCAGAATCTTGTCCATCAGCACCAGTTTTTGGCACGAAGCCCTAAACCCCAAAACCCCGAACCCTTGACCCTAAAGCTATGCAATCGTTGCGGGTGGTCCTATCATCGTCTAGGACTTAGAGTAAGCCCTCATTCCCTTTTCGTTCGTCTCAGGTTCCCTTGTAAGCCCCTGTAGACCCAAAGGGCACCCTTTTTATTCCTAGGTTACTCTTAGGTCTAGTCCTAGTAGCCGCCTTTGATCCCCTTTGACATTGCATTACGCCCTAATGCCATGCTCCTCAAGCCTAGATTATACATGAGAATCTACTCCATACTACGATAATATGCCCGCATACCCTATAAATTGGCTTCAAACAGCCTCCCGCTATTGGGGAATTGTATTTGAAGCCCCCCCTCATACCCTAGTCTGGTGACTAAGTCCCGTGGATTACGCCCCAGAAGCGCAAGACCAAGACATAGGGACCCAAAACATATTAGGGTAATATCCCACCTTATTGGGCTCCATTATAAGGGGGCTTATATGGGACATCCCTATCCTTATTTTGCTTATGTGCTTTTTTGGGGGGCCCTAAAGACAGCAGGTTGACAAAGCCACCGAAGTTTGGAGGCAGCCCCTGAGCTGGCACCGGCGTCCGGGTTTAGGACCCAGGGTTGATACCGTGCATTACCCATTATAAGGGTTTAGGATTTTGGTTTAGGGTTTCGGGTTAAGGAATATACCATAGTTCCCATAGCTTAGAGTCCTTAGGGTCATGCAGGATTTTGTCCATCAGCCGTAGGACTGAGGAGTTAGGGGTTCAGGGTTTAGGGGTCCTAGGAATGAGGAGTTAGGGGTTCAGGGTTTCGGGGTCATAGGGATAAGGTGAGGAGTTTGAGGTTCCGGGTTTAGGGGTCGTAGAAATGAGGAGTTAGGGGTTCAGGGTTTCGAGTTCCGGGTTTAGGGTTTCATCGGGGGTTTAGTATACTGCTGGTTCATCCCCGGAAGCCCGACGCCCGTAAACTTAAACCCTAAAACCACAGAGTCTACGGAGTCGAAAGCCCCAGATCTCAAGATTGCCAGGAAGCCCCAAACCTCAAGCCCTAAACCCGAAATCAAAAAAAGCCGAGCCCTAAGTCTTACTTTCTAGAGCATAAAACTTGTCTTCGAGCACATATGCAGCCCTCAACCAACACAGCAAAGCAAACGCGAGAGCCACAAACATGCAAGCACCAAGCTGTGTGGTCAGTCATAATATGTCATAACTGAGACATGCAGTAGGTCATGTTGCTTTCCTCTTGCACTAAGACATGTAGCTCAACCCTTGCGAAGAGAAAGAACCCAGTCATGTTATGGGTGCCGAGGATGTCGGCTTCGATTGAACCCAAGCTGGAGAGCGAAAAGCCCAAGATTCAGGCGGCACCGGTGCCGGGATCCATCACTGCCAGGGTTTAGGGATTTAGGATTTCGGGTTTAGGCTTCGGGATTTAGGATTTAGGGTTTAGGGTTCAGGATTTAGGGCTTCGGATTCAAAAGCCCTAAACCTTACACCCACCCCATGCTCTTGAAGCCTAAAATCCGCGATAGCCTCTAAAGGTGCGAAGGTTCTGTGGAGAGGTGGGTGGGGTTTAGGGCTTAGGGAACAAGAGTTCTTCCACAAGGCATCTTTCACTCCCCTTACCTTTTTCCTAACTGTTTGAGGCCTTGAGATTGCTGAATGAGTCTGTTCAAAGAGTCGTGTGATAGGCTGTCGAGAGCTTCGGCTATGAGTGCGAGGCGTATCTACGAATTGACCGCACAACAGCGGTGCTTACTTGGGTGGTTGTAAAACTGATGGTCCCTTTTTGGGTCCCTGATATAGTACGGCACCTAATATTTAGGGTACCCAAAAAGGGACCCTAATTTTGACAACCACCCACTTGGAGACTCACTGGAACCATTCCATCCTGCAGTGCAGGACGTCCGTTCTGCGGTGCTTTTGCGGAAGCTTGGCTGCGCTGGCAACGGCTTCACGGCTATTCTCGAGTAGTAGAAGGATTGCAAGAAAATGATAGCATATAGCCCGAATCCCGAAACTCTAAGCCCAAGCCTACTGACCCATGAGGCTTGGGGGAACGTGAGCCTACCGAAGACTCGACCCGACCTTTACGACCTTCGAAGATTCTAAGGCTTCCAGGCAGCAAAGGCAGTTCTGAGAAGGTGTCCCAAGAACAGAAGCAGACCGTGACTTAGACCTGAACACAGTCTTACCTCAGTGAGCTCAGAATCGTGGTCGTACGAACAGAGAACCCATGAATAGTCCAACCACGGAATATGAACTCTCTGGGTTTTGTTTTTTTTCACAAGATGCCCCCATGCCGAGGAAAACTCCTCTGCTGGAAACCATGACTTCTGCCGCTGATATCCTCAAGGGTGATGGACAGGAAGCCTTTGACCGAGAGTGGCTGACCTGAAACGTGGAATAAAGCTTTCGAGGGAATGATGCTCATATTATTGAGGTCATTTGAAAACGGCACCCCTCTGAACCCAAAACCCTGAGACAACCTAAGCCCTAAACCCTAAACTAAACCCTACATAAACCCCTAAACCCCCGGACCCTAAGCCTAAACCCCTAAAGCCGAAACCCCAAACCCAAACCCATCTAGCTGTCATGCAGCTGGAAAAGGGCCCATTTACAAAAACAGAAAACATTCTATTGCCCCAAACTGAAGGTCCTTAGTCCAGCAGCAAGATGCTTTGGACAAAGCCTTGAGCCGGGTCGTCGGATATGCGGAAGCACGGCAAGCAGCTGGCGTACGGCAGCCCCTTGTTTGCTGTTCGGGGTTTGTAGGGTTTATAGCGTTTATAAATAGGGTTTATAGGATTTCTAGGATTTATAGGGTTTAGGGTGTTGGGGCTTACGGTTGCAGTACTACATGGCTTTTGTGTGTTCATTTTGGTTTGTTTGGTGCTTGGATTGTTGTCGTCGTTGTTTACTCTGTTTGTCTGAGTCTTGACGTCATGAACTTTATGTGTGTTTCTGTTTACTTTGTGTTGACTTGTTTCTAGATAGTCCAGGACTGTTGTTTGTTTTCTGTCTTCCTTATAGGAACCATAAGCCACGGTCTTTCTTGAAACTAAGGTCCTACTATGAAGCCAAAGACATCTTCACCAGCTGGACTGTTTCGCGTGTTGGCCGCTAGAAAGGCATGAGAGGAAGATGACAGTTTATGTTAGCGGGGCTCGCGTGCAGAGTGCTTTGCACCCGCAGCCCATTTAAAGCACCATGTTCCGGGACCCATGGAGCTCAGCAACAGTTCCGTGATCCCCAAATTTCGCGATGCCGCGAGTCGTTTTGCATCGCTTGCTTACATGTCCACCCACTGTGGCTGTCAAAAAGCTGCTCGCGTTTCTCCAGCTTCTCTCGCCTGGAACGGTATAGAGCATCCAAAAATTAGGGGACCCTAACATAGCACCCTAAGTAGTAGGATCCTTATTATAAGGACCCCAAAATAAGGTACCCCTAATTTTCGGAAACTCCCATGTACAAGAGAATCCAACTTACGTTTCAGGCCTTTGCTGGGCTGCAGGATTCTGGGTAAAGGGGGAGACGATTTAGGGTTTAGAATTTGCAAAACAGCAAGAGAAAACCTAAGATGCAAGCCTGTGTTGCAGCCTTTCGCCTTATTCCTGAAAACTCCGTAAACCGCAGTTATCTGCTTGCTCTTCAACCATCAAAGCCCCAAAAAAAAGCTACAAGGCACGGTGGAGCACTCCGGCTGTAAGAAGACCGTAGTTAATGTGCATTGCCGATAAACCCTGTAAGCACATGAAGAAGGACCTGACCAGGTTCGGGTTTAGGTTTTAGGGTGCAACCGCAACCCTCAACCCTAAGCCCTAAACCCTATCAACCCTAAACCCTAAAAAAAACCGAAACCCTAAACCCTTTGCGACGTTGGCAGGTGCGGCGGCGCCCGCAGCTCCAGCAGTGACGGAGACCTCCAACGCAGGCTTCCTGAACATGTTTGGCTCCATTTGGGTTGATGGTTTCGGGTTTAGGGGGTTTTGGGCTTAGGGTTTAGAGGTTTAGGGTTTAAGGGTTTGGGTGTTTAGGGGTTTAGGGTTTCGGGGTTTAGGGGTTTAGAGGTTTGGGGTTTAGAGTTTCGTTTTGGGTTTCGGGTTTAGGGCTTCGAGTTTCGGGTTTTGGTCCTTTTCGGTTCTGGGATTTACATTTGTCAAGGCAGGCCGCTTCCTCTTGGGCTCTTCGAATGGATTTTTAGTTGTTTCTTTAGATTCTGTGGAGCAGTTTGTGTTGGGTCTCTCGGGGTTCGTGCTCCCCTTAACCCGAAAAGCCAACGGCATTAAGTCGTAAACCTAAACCCGAAAACCTTAAAGCCCTAAATCCCAAAGCCGAAAGCCTAGAACCCTAGAGCCCTAAGCCGCACTGCCCACTCTGACTAAACCCTAAAGCTTCAAGCCCTCGACGCCGAACCCTAGGCTACTTTATAGGATTTAGGGTTTAGGGTTGAGGGTTTAGGGTTGAGGGTTGAGGGTTTAGGGTTTATAGGAAGCTCCAGAAAGTTGGAATATGGTTTCATGGTAGGATACCCTATAATTTACCTTAAAGGGATTAGGATGATCATATTCCAACTTTCTGGCTTCTACCTTAGGGGTTAGGGTTTAGGATACCCTCTGTTGCGAAGCTTCCCAGTCTTACCTTCTGGCAGGGGCGAAAGCAGAGGTACCTGCTGCAGGCACGCATACCAAACCCACACGCTGAAGGGTTTAGACGGTGTAGAGGTTCTATCAGGGATATACATCATTGCCTCCTTTGTTTGGGGTCTTTTCAACTGAGGCACAAAACCTACAAACCACCCCAAAAAACAACTAAACTCCCACTGAAAACAACTAAACTCCCACTGAAAACAACTAAACTCCCATTAAAAACAACTAAACTCCCACTGAATTCCCACTGGATTCCCCCTTCGTCCCACTGAAAACCCACTAAACTCCCACCAAACTCCCACTAAACTCCCACCAAATCCTTATGTTTTCCCTAGGTTTTCCCAGCACCCCGTTGCAAGGGAATTTATAAGGAATTATGTGGGATTTATGCGGTGTGAGGCCTAAGTTAAAGAAGGGTCACTTGAAGAAGCACGAAGGCGCTTTTAAGATTCTAGGCGGTTTTAAAGGGTTTAGAGTTGAAGGTATACAAGGATTAGGGAGCAAGGTTTGTTGAAGGGTTGAGGGCTCAGGTCTTAAAGTCTACAAGGGATCTCGAGTTTAAGGTTTTCGGTGCAGAAGAGTAGGGGGAATCTCCGGCCTCGAAACCGTAAACCGCAAGCCTTAAACTTTGCTTTAAAGCTGAATCCTCAAGAATCCCAGAGACCTAACAAACCTACACCATCGCCCTGGGTGGCAGATTTCAAAAAGTACTCATTCGACCATGCTTCTCCACCTCTGAACAAATGGAGGAGCATTGCAAATTCCCGAAAAGTCCAGGATACGCATTGCAGGGCGTATGACCTGGTGCATAGACAGCCAAAGCAGGATCTTCAGGACCTGCTGAAGGAAGCAACGGCACTTGAAGGTGCAGTGGTAGGGGGAAAGGCGTGGAATCGAGCAGCAAAATGCTGCCCGCTTTTGTAGAGAGTTGCGCCTTCATTCTTGAGGCTCCAAACCCCGAAACCCCAAGCTTATAATACGATGGTAGCAGCCTCGGCATACCAAAATATATTCCACTCATTTATACTATACGAACACTATATTCAACTGTGTTATGCTATACTATACTATACTATACTATATTGCTATATCATATTTTAGCTATACTATACTATACTATACTATATTACTATATCATATTACACCATGCCTAAACCCTGGAAGGGCGAAGGCCTCCCTAGTTTTCAGGGCCGAAGGCGGTGAGAGGCCTCGGTTTTCAGGGCCTCGGGCCCAAACCTGAAGTCTAAGGCCTTACTGGGGTTCACTATAAGGGATCTATAATGGTATTATAATTTTAGGGTTCTATAATGGTTCCTTTAAAGGGATCTTTACTATACAGTAGAAGCCAGAAAGTTGGAACATCGATATCCTCATGCCCTTAAGGTAAGGTAGAGGGAATCCCAGCACTATTCATCCTAAATCTATGTTCCAAGTTTCTGGGGTTCGCTATAGGTCGATGAGCCGCAGAGCTTTAGGGCTAAGGAATTCAACAAAACTCAAGATGATAAAGTTAGAAGCCTACTTAAAGGTTCACGGGGCTTAGTAACAAGGGTTATAATTAGGGTAACTATACCTACAATTACTTATGACCCCGATTAAGGTACTTATAACCATACTTAATAAGTCCCATGATCCTCCAAGTATACTGTACAAGTTGAAGCCGCAAGCTGAAGCTCATAAGCCAGTGGCTGGATTTTGTTTCAGCACAAATCCTTTATTGTTGAGTTTAGGGATTGTGGTTTAGGTTTGCGCGCCTTGTTCGGAGTTTCTATCATTCCGGCTGGTGCCAAAATCACTAAACCCTAACCCCTAAACCCTAAGCCCTCGAACTTTTCAAAGGAAGCACTTTGAAGGATCCTGTTTTCAAGCATTCCGCTCCCGCCGTAGAATCGATAGTTAACATACTTGAGCTTAAGCAATGTCTATAACGGTCTACAGGGTTCCCCAATGTGAAAGGCGTTGCTTTTATGATCTGATTTCCTGAGGCTTCGCCACCCTATCAACCTTCGCAAAGCCTGTGCCCAAGCCCTAAGCATGACATGTTCGCTGCATCCCTAAACCCTAACACCTAAACCTCTAAACTGGAAAACCCATAAACTTATAACACCTAAACCGTCCTAAACCCTACACCGCACAGGCCAGAAAACGGATGGCTCTCCAAAGAAAGCAGAGGAGAAGAAAGAAGGCAGGGTTTATGGCGATTTTTCTGGGTTCAGGGGTTTCAGGGCTTATAGGGATTTCAGGGTTTAGGGTTTCGGGGCTTAGCGCTTTCAGGTTTAGGGTTGAAGGGTTCAGGGAGTGGTCAACCTACGGACTTGAACTGAAGCACGGGTCGCGATTTCGAATCTCCACCAGGTGTCGTTTAGCCCTTTCATGTTTGTGGGTCAAGTTCCTCGGCGCAAGCGACTGCTTTTGAAATACTTCAGGAGCCGCACTACCTAGTAACATGCTTCTTCAAGGCTCCTTATGTTACAACTTTACAATGATATTATATCATGGTTAGGGTTACAAGGGCTTTGTCCCAAAAGCCTGTTCTAAGTATTCAGGCCCTTATGTTAGGCACCTTGAAAGGAGCACAGCTTACCGCAAGCCTTCGTAAACCCTCATCCCTAAACCCCTAAGCCCTAAACCCCAAAACTCTAAACCCTAAACCCTAAATGACTCCTAAACCCCAAAACCCCTAAGCCCTAAACCCTAAACCCTAATGTTGAAGGCAACAGCCCCCTACTTCAAGCCACACAGGCCCTAAGCCCGAAATCCCCCAAAATCCTACGCCCTAAACCCTAAAAAACCCTACTGAAAGGCTCATGGGACTTAGTAACGAGGGTTAGAATTAAGATAACTATACTTATAATTACTTATAGCCCCAGTTAAGGCACTTACAACCGTACTTACTAAGTCCCATGATCCTCCATGATCCTCCAAGTAAACCCTAACGTCCAGAGCCCTACAAACCCCATACCCAGGCGTACAGATTTGGATCGGCAACCTCGCGGAGAAGATCGCCACCGAAGAGGAGATCCGAAAGCACTTTGGAGGCGGGGGTTTCGCCTTTACTCGGACCGAGAGTAAGCCCTTATTCCCTTTTTGTAGGGCTCAGGTTCCCTTATAAGCCCCTTTAGACCATAAAGGGCACCCTTTTTATTCCTAGGTTACTCTTAGGTCCCTAAATCCTCAACTCTAAACCCCTAAAAAGATCCCTTAAGGAACCCTTATAGCACCCTTTTTATTCCTAGGTTACTCTTAGGTCTAGTTTAGGGCTCTGGGGTTTCGTGTTTGGGTTTAGGGCCTAGGGAAGGCTCTGAGGTTTCGGGGTTTGGGTCTTAAGATTTACAGTTTAGAGTTGGGGTTTTTAAAACCCTAAACCCCTAAACCCCTAAACCCCTAAACCCTAAACCCTAACCCCTAAACCCTAAACCCTAAACCCCTAAACCCTAAACCCTAAACCCCTAAACCCTAAACCCTAAAGCCCCCTTAAAGGGCTTGGGTCTTGGAAGTGATGCAAACGGCTCGAGGGGGACTCCAGGTTTCTCGGGTTTAAGAATTTTTGAGGGTTTCGGCCATAGAACAACCGCAGTGCGAACAGCACATGTACTGGGACTCTACCATGATGCTAGAGCGTCGCCTTTGCATCTAATATAGGGGCCTTCATGATCAGAATGTGGTGTTGGGGCCCACTATGCTATAAGTAAGAAGAAAACCACCCCAAAAGAGTATTGGCAGTTATTTAGGCCCCTGTAGTAGCATGTTTCATTTGGCCTTTGTTTTTGTTGTTCTGCTCTTTCGTGCACTGGTGGGAACGATAGAAACCTGAGCATCAACGCTATAACTACCCTCTGTTAATTTGTTTACCATGAAGGACCACAAGGGCTCCATTAAAGGGTACTTGGTCGTCCTGTTAAGCCTACACCTTATGCTCCAAGCCCAAGCCTGAAACCCTCCTACTGCACGAAATGGCTGCGCACTGATGATGAGGCCTTCACCTGAAACCTCATCAAACCTTATGGAAGGCCCTGTAGTCTCTTCGCCCAACCTCTTTCTGAATCCTAAAGCCCGAAACCCTAAACCCTAATCGCTAAACTTCTTCCCATATTATTACCCTAAACCCTATTCGCAAAAAGCCGCTTTTAACCCGAAACCCTAATGAACCTAATCCCGCCTAATCTCCAAGCCCTAGACCCGAACACCCCAAACCCCAGAACCACAGGCACAGTAGCCCTGAGATCCGCCTCTGCCCCGCAGGGTTCGGCCAGATCACTGATGTGAAGTTCAAGATGAACAAGACGCTTTCTACGGTTTAGGGTTTAGGGATTGAGAACTCATAGGGTGTTGGGGTTAAGGGTTTAGGGGTTTGGGGGGCTTTCTACGGTTTGTATAAAGCTTACTGGTTTGGGGGTTTCAATATGGGGCTTTGGGTTTAGGACGACAGGATGTAAGGGTTCATAGCTTAATGATTTTAGGGTTTTAGTTTGTGCTTGGGGTTTAGGGCTTCGGGCTTTAGGGTCTAAGGGTTCTGGGTTAAGCCTAAGCATTCAAGGGCTTTAGGGCTCTTGAACAAGATGTTTTTTCCTGTGGTCGCTTGAGGGGTCTCCACGGTTAAGGTCTTAGGGTTTAGGGTTCAGGGCTTTTGGGTTATGTCCACTTCAAGTCTGCCAGAGTCGGAAATCCTGACCAATTCGAGCGGAAGCAACGTCTCAGCAGAGTGCCACGAAGGAAATGCGACAGGCCAACTACGGTTGACGCACAGCGATGTTGTAGCCGTTTGTCCTCGGTACTCGCGTTGTTTTCAGCAGATGCTAGAGGGTCGGCACCCGTAGACATTTCCATTTTGGTGAAGGTTGACTGCGGGGGGTACGGGAGGCGTGGTGTGTGCATGTGCCTAAACGTGTAAAACACGCAAGAGCTTATGATTCGCAAAAGCAGCACTACGCCTAAGAGCTAGGGCTGACGGAACTGTGTGCTGCGGCAATTCTCTACTGTTCTCAACCGAAGCACTGCTGGAACTTCGTCGTAGACTAGAGGTGGGTTCAGGTTCACGTGTGATTTCGGATCCCTGTGCCGGAAGTGGCCATGACGACGTGTCTCCGCATCGAAGGGACCTCACCAAGAATTAGTAATTAAATTGTGGTAGTTGAGGCATTCAAATCCCAGTCCAGCACCCTAGTCTCTAATCAAGCCCTAAACCCTGAAGGTAAGCGATCTCCCGACTCAAGGGGAGGATGGAAACAGAGCCTGCTTTTCGAGGAAGAGGACGGGTGACCTGAAAATCTTCTATGCCTTCGCGACCTATACGACCACGGAACAGGCTCTTCGGAATTTTGGTCTCGAGTCCCTAAACCCTAAACCCTAAACCCTAAACCCCTAAACCCTAAACCCTAAACCCTAAACCCCTAAACCCTAAACCCTAAACCCTAGTCCTTGAACCCTCAACCCTAAACCTGAAGCCTTAAACCCTAAACCTCAAACTCTAAACCCTCACCCTAAGCTTCGGCTTGTGCCTTGGGTCTGCTCTGTGCAACTTGTGTGAAACAAGTGGAGGGACCCTCTAAGCAACGAGCATATGGATAGTTCTCTAAACTAGGGTCCCTTTCAGCCTCCTTTTTTTACAAGCTGCCGTACCATCATAGGGACTTAAAAGGGGCCATAATTTAGATAGCCACCCATCACCCATCTTGATAGTTGTCCAAATCACGGTTCTCGGTCAGAGAATCCCAAAAAGAAGGCGGTTGGTCGGAGCTTGCAGATGCGATTGATGTCTTAATTAAGGAGTATACCTTAAGCTATAGGGGCATTATCGTTGTGATTCTGTTTCTGTTGCTGTAAGAACAGAAGTTATAGGGAGATCCTTATGATGATTCTATTTCTGTTTCTGCATAAACAGAACTTACAGGGTGATCCTTATTCTGATTCAAGGTGTATTCCTCAAAGGGTTTTGGAGTTTCTGGGTACTTGCCGGACTGAGACTGGAAGCGGCCATCGGCACATCTCGAAGCAACCGTGGCAGAGACTTGTGCATTATGATTGCCATGCACTACAAGAAATCCTAAACGTTTACTACTACTATTGCAGGAGTTCCTGCTTATGATTGTGGTATTGATATACCTCAAAAACCTTTTTTACTTATTGAGGCCCCTCTAGTATCCTCGAACGGACAGCCTAAAGCGACTTGTCCTAAGCAGCCCTGTACACGTGTATACTCTAAACAAAGCCCTCGCACAAACCAGGCTGCGCTCCGGCACCCATTGATCCCTAAATCCTACACCTCACCCACACTTACACCACCACTTCAGGCTTGAACATCTTCAAACTTCTCTACCAGCTAAGATAAAAGTGCTTGGCAGGCAAAGGCAGCTGTCGATGCGGTCTCCTGAGATTGCACTGCTCTGCTTGCGATTCCTATGGGTTATGCAGCGGTCACAGCCGTGGAGAGACATCTTGTTGTAGGTAATTATGGCTGCTGAACCTTAGAATGGTAGATACACCGACTTTAGGCCGTGTCATAATATTCCCGGACAAGGTCATGTCGCAACTCTCCCACGCGGGTTATGTTGTCAAATGCATGCAGCAAGTGTCCGAGTACTATACAGATTTGTGGCGCTCGCTACTTGCCAGAGCGAGCAACCAACATTGTAGGATTTTATGATCCTAACCACCGTAACCTGCTAGTTTGTAGCCTCTTATAAGAGGTTTTGGTAGGTTGAGGTAGACCACAAACTCTGAACCCTCAAGCCCCTCTAAACACCATACAGCAAACCCTTCTAAACCCCTAAACCGCTAAACCTGAACGTCTAAGCCTCAACCCCTAAACCCTCTAAGCCCAATAGAAGACCTTATAAGCCCTACAATAAGCCCCATAATAAACCGCTACTTGGAGGGTCGGGGGATTTAGCAAGTAATGGTTTTGTAGACTTACAAGCATCAGGACCCCAATTAGAGTCCCCCTTAAGGTACTTATAAGTCTACTCATTACCTACTTGCTAAGTTCCCGGACCCTCCAAGTACTATAGACCCCTTTAAGGGCCCGGTTAAAGGATCCCTTTAAGGGGAGCCCTAAACGCTCCAGGCCATGAATGGCCAGGTGATCGCTGAAGGAACTGAGGCTTTGCAGGCGCGGCACGATAAGGAGTTTCCGAAAATAGGGGACCCTAATATAGAACCCTAAATAGTAGGATCCTTATTTTAAGGACCCCAAAATACGGTACCCTAATTTTCGGAAACTCCCATAAGGGATGGTCTGCGGCTTTAGGGGTCTAGGGGTCGGAGGGTTCATGGGGTTCAGGGGTTCAAGGGTTTAGGTTTAGCATTTAGAGGTTTAGGGGTTCAGGGCTTAGGGGTTTAGGGGTCTAGGTCTACACCCTAGATCCTGAATCTAGCTCCTTTGGACATTTAGGGCGTGATTAGGACTTATGGCTTGGGGTTTAGAGCTTAGGATCCTTTAGGGTGTTCATCCTTCGGATGAGTGTTCAGGAACCTTGGGGGGTGTGGATTGTAGGGTATTTCGATAAAGGGTTTTGGGGTCTAAGGCACTGAAATCCGAACCGCTAAACCCTAAATGAAGACCGCAGAGTGTTGTTTTACAGGAGTTTGGAAAATTCGTAATGCTGGTAATCTTCCGTGAAAGCGCCTCTAAATCTGCGTTCTTCATCTGCCGGAAGGTCGCACTCTACTTAGGAAGATGGCCCCTCGGATGTTATCAAGCTATACTGTGCACCCAAGCTGGAAACCCTTATATTTATAAGCCTTATATACAGCACCTATGCGGCCGCTTGAAAACCCGAAAGGAGTCCGTGAAGCACCGTAGACATCGATCCAGCACCTATCTTTGTGCACTAAGCCGTAAACCTTAAGCGGCTTGCTCCTTCTTGTGGCTCTTGGCCCCGGTGACCAGAAGCTCCCAAAGCTTTGAGCTCAAGGTTCCGCCTCCATGTCGTTAGTACTCACCATGTGTGTATATACATGTGCATCTACACGTGTAAATGCAAAAGTGTATAATATATATATATATATATATATATATATATATATATATACATATATATATATATATATATATATATATATGTACATGCATGTGTATATATATACATATGCATATGTACATGACAAATATGTATATACACTTGTATCTGGCTATCTGTATACGTGTACATGCGTATGTGTGTGCGTGTGTGTGTGCATGTATGATGTGTGGATGTGTGTACGTTATGTTTGTGTATGTGCATGTGCACCTGTATGCATATGCATGTATGCGTGCATGTGTGTGTGTGCATGGGTATGTGTATATTATGCTGACGTACATATACAGGACGTCGTCGGCGGTTTTCGGTGTACCCATTCTTCAAGTAGGGGTTGCTTTCGTTTGTCAAAGTTGCGTGGACGGCATGTGTTGTTTTCGCACATGCCCCAAACCGGCGAAAAGATGCTGCACACCTAGTGATTCCCGACCCAGATCACACCATATCATATGTCATGATATGTTGTCATAGTGACTCATTTCGTTGCATATACTAAGTGAACAAGTACACCCGAGTGGCACCAGGTATCGTTTGCGGATCGCCAGATGATGGAAGGCCACTTGGCTCCTCAAGCGGGTTCCGGGGTATATTCCGAGGTATACTACAGCAGATTTATATGCGCCCACTCTACTACCCAACAAGCGTTGACTCGACGTGGGTTGATCCCTGGAGCCGACCTCACTCTTGTCATCCAATGTGCGATATGACTCCCGTCCTGGTCCTCCGATGATGCACTCATACCCTAGGGCTCTATCTACCTAACTTGTAGGTTACTAACCATATGTTACATAGTCCAGCAGCCTACTATTTAGGTAACTGGAGCCCTAGGGATACTCACCAGCCCCCTAAACCCTAAACCCTAAACCCTCCACCGAGCCCCCTAAACCCGAAACCCTTAAACCCTAAACCCCAAACCCTGAAACGAGCCCCCTAACCTTAAGCCCGAAGGCAACGGAGGGCTTTTCTTTCAGCCCGACAGTCTCCAATGAAGTGGGAGTTTCAGGGAATAATTGTACCTTATTTTGGGGTCCGATTAGTAAGGATCCTGCTATTTAGGGTACTAAATTAGGGTTCCCCATTTTCGGAAACTCCCAAGCGCAGTTTCAGAAATTTGGTGTTTACGGTTTAGGGTTTGAAGCTTTCAACGTTGCAGGTTCCGATTTTTGGCATCTTAGGGTTTAGGGTTCAGGGTTTCGGGCTTTCCAGCGTGGGTTAGGGTTCATGACAGGCTGCTGAACCCCGATGTGCCTCACTCCCGGCCGAGGAAAGGGAAAGGACGGCAAGGGCGGAAAGGGCAAAGGAAAAGATGCAAAGGGAGCAGGCCGGTTGTTCAGGGGTTCTGGTTTAGCTAGTTGAGGTTTCTGGAGTTTAGGGTTTACGTTTTTCAAGGGTTTGTTTAGGGTTCAGTGCTGTGTTGAGGGCCTTGTGTCTTATGAAGTCAGCGGCTCGGGGTTTGCAACGTTTCCGTCTTCACATAGGAGCGCCCATAGTCAGCGGTTTGATTCCTACATCGCCACTGCCAACCTAAGAGAAGATGCAAAGCAATCCTTAGCCACTTTGCCGAAATCGACTTCTTCACCAAGACCCTTCCAACAAGTAGGTCCTAGTAGGTTCAGCTATACCATGCAGAGCGAGTCTCCCCTGAGCTTGTGAGAGGGAAAGTTTGGAATTTGAGGATTTTGTATGGTTCTCGGGTAGAGAGTTGAGGGCTTTGGGAGAGTTGACTGTGTAGGCTGGGCTCAGGTGGCTTCATTGCCTTTCCATGACTGGGACTTAAACTTCAAGTTCGGGAGTATTCCTAACTAGCTTAAATGCGAAACCCAAAAAAGCGCCCATCTGGCGCCGGTCTCGGGATCTAGAAACTTCGGTGCCTTCTTTGATGCAGTCTCGTTTTGGCAGCTTGTGCTTCAGCCGGCCCTGTCAGAGCCCTCGAATGCATCCCCACAGTGTGTTTAGGCAGTGAACGCAAAGCTCCCAGACCAAGCTTGACGCGACTTTCCTGAACTCTGCTCCGTAATGCTCCTGACGAAAAACATGAAGCGTGAGTCTAAGATTTGACCTTGTTTCCAAGTGCAACAGCTAGGGACGGGGTATACTATCTACTTGGAGGGTCAGGGGACTTAGTAAGTAGTTATTTAGAGGACTTCTAAGTATCATAAGCCCAATAAGGCTCCCTTTTGGGGTAAAGATAAGTCTACTTAGTACCACTTACTAAGTCCCCGACCCTCCAAGTACTCGAAAGACGACAGTCAAGGACAAGCATCTCTGGGGCTCTATTTGGGGACGCCTCTGCATTTGCGATCGTCAACCTACCTTTACCTTGCTTTTGTAGGATCCTTATTCATTCCATACTAGGGTTAATAAGGACCTACAAAATAAAAACAAGTAGGTTTTGGTAGGGTAAGGTAGACCTTATGACCCCCAGTTCCCAATCTACACTCGTCAAGCAGCAGCACCGGAGACAGGCAAGACCGGAAAAGGCAAAGGCGCGCTTCAGTGCATGCTACGCAGTAACCATAACAGGGATCTATAAGGGCTCCTTGGTGGGATCTATAAGGGTTCCGATAAGGGTTTAGGGTTTAAGGTAAGGGTCCCTAAAAGGGTTTAGGGTTTAAGGTTTGAGAGCTCGCTTGGACCCCTGATTAATATAGGGGCTTAATAATAATTGCCTACACTATTGTGGGGACTCCTTATAATGGGCCCCAGAACCCTATTCTAATCATTGAGGCTCCTATGTTACCCCCTCACCCTATCTAAAATGGTATCTTAAACGGGATCCTGATATTAGAGCCCTTACAGAAAGAATGTTTTTTCATCAGCGGTCTACATGTATCGAGGGTTGGGGCTTTGGGTTCAGGGAATCACACTCGTCAAACAAGAAATCTCCCTAGACCGTGAGCTTTAGTCGAAGGTTTCGGGCAATTGTTCCCTCAGTCCCTGAGTCCTACATAAACTGCGCGTAATATTGAATCTGAAAACACGATGATATTATTCCTGAAAGTTGCATCCTAGATAGGGCTTTAGTGCCCTACAGGGTTGGTGTTTTAGGTGCCGGCTCTCGATTTTGGCACGTTGGGGTATTTCTTTACAATGCTTGACAGCTCGGAGTTTGAGGGTGCCAACAACGAAGAGGATATTTGGCTTCCAATCCTGATCCACTGCGGGGCGAATGTCCCCCAATGGATAGACACCTCTTCCGCCCTTCACCGCTAAACCCTAAACCCCAAATCCTGAAACCTACATCCCGCAACCCTAAGCCCTAAGCTAGTACAGTGGCTTTAAGGGTACAGTACATCATAATTACAACAAGAAGCCCTAAGGATGGTATTAGGTATTAGGGGTTTAGTGTTACCCGCGAAGAAAGGGGATTGCTAGTCAAGGTTCGGCATGTAGGGTTTCGGAGCCCCCTTTGGGGGGTTGCCCTCCACGTTTCTTAGGACAGGGTTTCGGAAAAGAAGATCCCAACGTTCCTAGGGCACCAGAGAAAGTTTATTCCTGAAGCCTTGCATAGCTTTCATATGTCATGTATGGGTTGGACCCTCCATGGAACCATTAGAGCTTTGGCGGCTTCTTCACGCCTGAACGCATGAAGGATTCAGCATGTCTGCTTGAGGGCGAAACGTTCATAGACCCAGAGCCTGCACCCAAAGCAAGTGAAGCCCCTTGCCGCCTAAACCCTGAACAGTGGGTTCTGGTTCAATCCCAAAGGTGAAGAAGCCCTACATGCCCTCATGCCCCTTAAGCCCTGAACCGATCCCTGAAGCCCTGAAAGGAACCCTAAGACATGCTTACAAGAACTTCTGTAGGATTCTGAAGCCTGAAGAAGCCCAGAAGGGATACTGCAAGGGGTTACTATACGGGGCGCCAGAGAGGAGCCTGAAACCCAAACCAGGAAAGGGCAAAGCCGCACCCGGCCAGCCAACGCTCCCTCGGCAGAGTTTCAGCACATGGGGTGCTTCATGGTCTTACTTTTGAGGGTTGAGGCGCCCAGAGTTCCGAAAAGATTTGAGGGCACATTTAGTGTGCCGGCCTCCCGAAGTCCAATGCAGTAATTAATACACGGGCGCGGACAGATGTCCGTGAACTAAATAAAAGGGCCTAAATAGTAACCAATATAATTCTTAGGGGGTTCCTTATTATAGTTCTAGTATCATGGACCCCGCTATCCTTATTCCAGTTATGAAGGCCCCCATATTAATTACATCCCGGAGGATCCTCTCAGCCCCACAACAAGCTTTGTGCTTAGGGATTGAAGTAGGGCCACGGGATTCAGGGTTTAGCGCTTAGGCCTTCCGTGGGCTACACACAGATACTTAGAAGGATCCGAAGGGGCCTTCCTAGCAACTTACTGCTGCAAGCCCAGATAACTTCACGGCCCTCGAAGAGAATTTAGATATTGTGTTTGGAATTGAAAGTAGTCGTGAACACCAACCAACAACATCGCTAGGGCAGGGCGTTTGGATTTGTGGCCATGCGACTGCCAGGTATCCGTACTACCCCTACACTCCCGAGCAGATTCAGGCTGGAGCACACCTGGCGCATCTAGGAGTTCAGGGTTGACTATGGAGTCGTACCCTAATGTAGGGGCCTTAAGAACTAGAATAGAGTTTAGGGGTTTCTTATTCTACTTGTGGTAAAATATGACCCAAACCCTTTTCTGACCATCAAGGCCCCCCAGCATTACCTGTGGAAGGGTGGGGGTCAGGGTTTAGTGGGTTTTGGCGTAAGCTTGCAGGATTACAGACACCTTGCGACGAGGCATCTGAGAGCCCTTCTAGTACCCTAAGGGTCAAGTACTCAAATGGGTGGTTGTCAGAATTAAGGTCCCTGTATCCCTAAACAATAGGTGCTGCACTATAATAAGGATCCCAAAGGGTACCATATTTCTGACAACCACCCACATATTAGGGCTTTAGGCCCCAAAATCCATGCTCCGAACGGTTGTTGGAGTTTGGGGGACCTAAAGCCCAACTACTCGGGCACTTGGACCCTTGGGGGTATGATGTCCTAGGCTGTCAATGTACGGTGGAGTACAACATTTAACTTTTGGGGGATTCCTTCTTGTAGCCGTGACTATGCGTAGCTGTACGAGAAAGAGAAACAGAGAGAGAGAGAGAGAGAGAGAGAGAGAGAGAGTCGTGAAGTGCAGTGGGGGACCAGAGATTTGTCTATCATACTCACTCTGTTGGTTTTGGAAAAGGAACCCACCTGCAACCCTGAATAACAGGGCACACGTTCTTGTACAGCCGAGCCCTTCCACTCCAAATAGTGGATGGGGTAGCGCGCTCGCGCGGGGCGGGAGGACTGCTCCTGCCCTAAACCCCGAGCAAAGCAAAGCAAAGCAAAGAGAGAGAGAGAGAGAGAGAGAGAGAAAAAAAAAACACAAAATAGAGAGTATGATATACATGAAAACCCTGCTCTAATTATTAAGGACCCGATCTTTGGGGGGTGAGGGTGAGGATTATCGGGCTTGAGGGGCTATGGATCCTGAGCAAACCCACGATTTCCAGCCATACTCGAATCTTGGTTCTGGGAGTTCCCGAAAGGGTCCATGCACCCACATAGTATAGACTTTGTCTGTCTCTCTCTCTCTCTCTCTCTCTCTCTCTCTCTATCTATCTATCTATCTATATATATATATATATCTATATATATATATATAAGAGTAGTTCCATTATATATATACACACACATATTTATGCATTTGTACTTCAAGGGCCAAAGTATATACTGTATGGGCACATGGACTTTTAGAGCCTCCTGCAGGACTCGAGGCTCCAGGACTTCCAAAATCCCACCAAAAGTCCCAAGCCTCCCTTGCTCATCCTGGAACCCTGACACTTTAGACTTTAGACCCTAAGCCCCAACCCCCTAAGCCCCCTAAACCATCCTAAACCCTAAACCAAAGCCGAACCCCAAAGCCCCCAGCCCCGCATCCTTACCGCCAGTACGCCTGGGCGCTCCAAGCACAGTATGCCCAGCAGTTTGAGGCTCAAGCCTTGCAGGTGCGAGTTTTTTTTGAGTTTAGGGTTTAGGGTTTCCAGGGTTTAGGGTTAGGGTTTAGGGTTCGGGCTTACTGGGTTTAGGGGTTTTGTGTTGAGACGAGTTTAGGGGTTTTGCGTTGAGATGGGGGGAAGGGGTCTTAGGGCTTTAGCAAGTTGATCAGGATTTTTGAAAGCTGCGTGCGGGTTTTAGGATTTGAGGGATCGGGCTTTGGGGTCTTTTGGCTTCAGGATTTGATAGATTTCAGGGCTCAGAGTTTAGATTGCGAGCCCTCCGAGGGCTTCAGGCTCTCAGAGAGTTGAGGATGTAAGGGTTTTTGAACTCAGGGTTCGTTGCATTTCGGGTTCACCTTCAGGTGTACGTGTTCTCGGGGATGCACCTTAGGACTGTAGGGTTTAGGCCCTTGAAACTGAGGGAATCGAAGCAGTATGGGCGTCGGTGTTGGCCTTTAACTAATTGGTACAACACCTTCCCGATTGCGATAAATATCATAAACCAGTCGCATGGTGTTAGTGCTGCTAGTTAGTTGTTGAACTCGCATGTTCATCTTCATTGTGTTGCTACTGATTGCAATCATCCGGCTTTTGTGATCAGTGAACTCGCGTTCAGGGGCGATTTTTGCGTTCCGAAGTCGTCGCACGGCAAGACCTTCCAGTTTGAAGCGTTGGCTTCCTGCAAATGCTCAAAACGGGATCCCGGGCAGGGCAGGAAAAACGACGATAACCGCACTGTTGCATCCCGACCGTGCGTTTAGCAGCGCGTTCCGAACACGAGTTCAGAGTGCGTTCGCGCGCCGGGTTGCACTAGGGGTTGCAAGGCTCACCAAAGTTTCGGCAGACAGCTTGGGTTGTCTGGTGTCGAGCAACCCCTGAATCATGAACCTTCAAACTCCAGCGTTTGGGCTTACGATTTAGGTTTGAGGTTTGTGGTTGTCCCGACATAGTTGCACTCTTCGCATTCCAAAGCTTTTGCACCATGCGTGGCCCGTGGTCTTGCAATCAATAAACCAACCGGTTTGAAGTTATTGAACCTGTAAGCCTAAATTTTAATCTCCATGCAAGCCCTTACCACCATGATGCGTCAGGCGCAGGCTTACTACAGCGGGTTTACCGGCCAGGCTGCTCCGGGTTTCTTGTGCTAGAGCTGTTGTCAAGGTTTCGGGTGTAGGGTTTAAGGTTAAAGGTTTGGGAGGCATTTTTCGGTTACCGACGTTATCATGTACTACTCTCGTGCTTGCACGTGCAACGATTGAATCAGTGCTGACCCGTGATTCTTTGAAGCTATGAAAGAATATCTTGGTGCGGTAATGTTGAGTGCCTTCGTTAAGCCAAGGTGGGGTATAGGATCTAAACTTGCCCATCCAATCGACACGAGCATCTCGAGCATCGTGCTGTTGCACCCTGCGATGAACGAAGAAGCTTCCCGGCCACCAAGCAGCCACATTCCACAACACGGCAGAACGCTCGCGTGCTTAATCCAATCCCCTTAATGTAAAGCGTGTATATTTCTTGGGGTGGGTTATGTCATCCTACCGCACCCTGATTGGAAAGGTCAACTTTTCTGAGTCAGGGAACTCAGCAGCTAGAAACCAGATCGGTCTGTTACTCTTGAGTGCACACCCGAACAGGGCGGGCTTGCTGGGGATGCTCGACAAGTCTGTTGCACCTTTAAATCTCGAAGCTTGTCAGACCCTGCGCTTTTAAACCCTACACCAACATGGTCAGGTCATCCCTAAACACTAAACCCTAATTCAGTAAACCTCTCAACCCTACACACACCCTAAACCCTACACCACGCTGGTCAGGTCATCCCTACACCTAAACCCCTCAACCTTATATATACACCCTAAACGCCCTAAACTCTCTACACCGAGCTGGTCAGGTCATCCCGAGCCAGGCTGCCATTTCTGCCGCCTCCCACAGTGGCGGCACCTCAAGTGCAAAGCAGCAGCCGGCTCAGGGGCTGAAATGTTGTGGGTTTAGGGTTTACGGGGTTCGGGGGTTTAGGACTTGGGGAGTTTAGGCAGGGTTTAAGGGCTTATAGGGAATTAGGGTTTAGGGAGGGTCTAGGGGCTTAGGGGTCTGGGGTGTAGGGGTTGGGGGTTTCGGGTTTAGGGTTAGGGGGTTTGGATGTCGTAATTAGTTATACTAACATAAACCCAGAACCTATTCGAATGGTTGAGGCCCCGGATCCTCAAATCCCTGTTCAATACGTGGGTACCCTTACAGACCCCTTTAAAGGAACCCTACTCTAGTTACTCTAACTGTTAAGGCCTTATGATAGGACCCTAAACCCCAAAACCCTAAACCCAAAGCCCCTAAACACCTAAATAACCCCTAAACCCTAAACCCCTAAACCCTAAACCCCGAAACCCCTAAAGCCTTATCACATTTTGTACAGGCCGCAGGCACCTGCCACGAAGCCGCCTGCGCCTCCGGACAAGGAGTTTACCGGACAAGTGCACCTTGGCTGCCTGAGATGTCTGGTTCTTAGTAGGGGATGGGGTTCCCTTAAGGGTTCCTTTAAGGGTTACTATAAGGGTTGCTATAAGGTAGGGAATCGGGGAATGGATTATGGAGACTATTATTATTAGGGATTATATAGGGGCTACTATAGGGATCCATTCCCCCATTTCCTACTAAGCACCTTGGCTGCCTGAGGTTAAATAAGTTGTTCGTCGGGTTTTAATCGTGTTCTAAGAGCTTGGCAGGCTTGTAGTTTGTTCTTTACAGGCTTCCTTCAAAATGCGGGTTCTTGCATCGATTCCCGTGTGCGCTTAGTTGTGGCACAGGGCTGTGGAAGTTTGGGTTTTGCGGGCGTTTTGGGGCTGTAGTAGGGTTCGGTTTGGTGCTTATCTCGAGGGTGGAGCGGAAAGTTGTGCAGTGCTGTAGCATGCTTCGGCCTTGCCTACATCCTGAAATGTTTGTTAATGGTGATGCTTTTGCTGTGGAGTCTCGTTATCCCTTAAGACTGAACAGTAGCAGCAAGGGCCGTATTTAATTTGTAAGCTGGCACTGGTAAGCCGGAGCTCAGGGTTCATAATTACCAACAATACTTTTGTGGGGGTTCCGTATTACAAATATAGTGCAGTGGGCCCCAAAACCCTATGCTAACTGCTAAGGCCCCTAAACCCTGAATCCTAAACCCTGGAGCCACCCCTATATGAGGGCTTGGACCCCGAACCCTACTTTTCGGACTATGCTCCCTTCTTGAGACAGGAAGTCCATCAGCGCGAAGAACGGCTACGGATTCATCATCTGCAGTGGCCTCGAAGAGTCCTTTGAGGTCCTAAGCCCTTTATAAACCCTAAACCCTACCACCCTGCTGTTTCGACTTAAACCCTAACGCTATACCCTAAGCCCACTCGCATGCGCGGCAAATAACGGGCTTGTTTGACCGGAATGCCCTAGATTAAAGGTTCCTTGACTTTTCACGGGTTAGCGTTCCACAGGGTTTTAGGCTTGTTATAGCGTTCTACATGTAGGGTGTTTGGAGTTCGGAGATTGGCATATCGGCTCTATGGCTTGAGGGTCTAGGGTTGAGTTTGCACCGCCTCTGGACCTCAGGTGAGCCTCTTTCTTCAAGGATCAGCTTTGAGTCAGTGCTTCTTACTTCCTTCGGCTTGGTTAGGTCTTAGGGTTTAGGGTTGAAGACAATGAAGACTTCAATGAAGGTGTTGCGTTACCAAAGATCTATCCAAGAATCCTGTCCTAAGCAGCTGACCCACAGTAGATACCAAGACATGTATGCGGATTCTTCGAGTAAGCGATAGGTTCCTTATTGAGGAGGGGCCCTTACAAGAAGGATCCTCCCATTTAAAGGAAGGCCCCCGTCTTTTCTGTAATCCTAGGTAGCTCCTTGCTTTCGTGGGTTTTGATAGCTATGTATGTGAAGCGCCACAGTCCTTTTTCGAATTGTTCCGGACTACTGCCGGGCATTAAGGTTTTGAAGCCTTCCGAATACTTGCCAAAATTATTCCTTGGTTCCTGTGTTTACATAGACCAGAGTTAATAAGATAAACCCAGTCAGTAAGGCCCGTAGATTGAGGTCCCGCAGGGTGCGCGCTTAAATCCTGGCGCACTAAACCCTGGGCCTAAAGCCACAGTCGGAAGCCCCCGTCCAGGCATTGACAAGATGCCTCCAAAACCCTTGTGGTACCTTTTACCCTCCATCCTAAGCCTTTAAAATCCTAAACCCTAAACCGTCTTCATCCAGGCCCCTACAACCTAACCTGTAAGCTCTAGACCCCAAAACCGTTTTATCAAGGCCGCTTATAACCTGTAGGTGGCCCTAAACCCTCTTTACAAGGCGTAAAATCTGCAAAGGCCCAAGGAAGACCTCAAAGCCCCAGACCCCTACACCCAAAGCTCCTCAACCCCAGCAGACCTGAAAGCCCTAGGCCCTAATCCTTTGTCATAGCTGGGTATCATTTTACATTTTTATGGGTACTTGAACCCAATAAGGAATAAAAATGTACATGTTTAATCCCATCCCAACAATGAACTAGAATCTCATAAACCCTACAAGACCTGAAAGTGCTCAGGTGAGGAGACGAAGAGCCTTTACGGCCGAGACGTTTTCGTGGAGCAGAAGGTGTTGCCTGAGGGCATCGAAGTCCAATCAAAGGCGCGGGGTTAGGGGTGGTACAGGATTAGGGGTTTGAGGCTTAGAGGTCTTTGGTGGTTAGGTTAAAGGTTAGGAAAAGGTTAGGGGTGAGGAGCTTTAGGGTTTCGGGTTATATTTGGAGCTGTCAATTGACTTGCATACTGCACATATGTATGCAGATATGAGGTACTGTTTTCGGATCCCGCTCTCTTTTCGCCAGGTGAAGTATCGGGCTAATTAATGACGATTTCTTCGCTTTATTTTCGCACCACCACCACCACCACCACCACCACCACCACCACCACCACCACCACCACCTCCACCGCTACTGCTACTGCTACTGCCACTGCCAATGCGACTGCTACTCCTACTACTACTACTACTGCTGCTGCTGCTG